TGTGTGTGTGTGCGTGTGTGTGTGCGTGTGTGTGCGTGTGTGTGAGGCTTATTTTTCATTTAAGTGTTATCTGTGCCCACAAATAGGTGCAAGACTTTGTTTTCTTTTCTGTTGCTGTGTTTATATAGTCCCCTTCACACTACTACTCACACCATGACCTGCTTTCTAATAATGTATCAAAGAGAAAATGTCTGCATGAATGTATATGTGCTTCTCAGTGTTATTACAAAGGTCCCCTTTCCATCATCTATCTTTTATTACAGCCGGAGCAGTGCAGAAGCATATTTTAATGTGGTTGTTGGATTCAATCAGTTCAGTCGGTTAAAGACAAAATTAACTTTTTTCCAATGCTATCGTTCATCGCGTCAATGCTTCATGGATGTCTCAATGAATCAAATCAAAATTTCTATTTATTTTTTATGTATGTAATTTGTTTATCTATTTACCCAAGGACACATGCAACTCATATGTATGTCTTTTTTCTCATAAAAATGAATGTAGCTTAAATTTACCACAAACATCTGCCATTAACATTTGTCCAAAGCTTGGATCATGTTGCTTTGAAGCTCTTAAAACACAAGACAAGGACTGTCTATACCTGGCAAATGGCTTTGTAATCACTTTGTTCCAATGGAGCTCCGTGGTTCTGTCGAGTAATACTTCAGGGATTGCATTGTAATTTCACAGTGATTGCTTCAGATCACAGTCGGAAGGATTTTGCGATTACAGCCACCAGAAGAACCTCTTTGTGACTTGTCCCAGTTTCTAAACGTTATCATGAAGGGCAAGAAAAAAAAAAAGACTTACTCAATTATTATACAATTACAAGCATATTAAAATGAGGCTGTGTGTAATTACATGTTAAAATGTTTGGTGTTAATTTAATTATTCCCTTTTCCTCCACAGGTATTGGGTGATTAAATATAAATGATACCGATAAATATATGCAATGAATGAAAGTTACAGGTCTTAAACCCACTTTGTGCAGAAGAATGATTGCTGTCCACACTTGTGTGTTGTGACTCTGTCCTAAGCAATAGGTTTGGATTCGTGCCCAGAGCCGCTGCCTCCCAGTAACGGCCTAAGAGTTGGCGACCGCTACACTGTGGGTGACATGGTGTCCTTCCAGTGTGATCAAGGCTTTTCGTTGCAGGTAGGTGAAAGCGCACAGTGCCGGTAACACAGATATCCAGCGTTCAAACATTTATGATTTGTGAATCATATCTACCTGCCTGAAGTGACAGTTTCAAGGAAATACCCCAAAGGATGAGTTTGTCAAAGATGCATCACTAAGTACATTAAATATGACATTTGTGTGTCTGAGCGGAACAGTAAGCAAGAGAAATGTCTGAATGCTCAAGTGGGGCTACTTTCCATGTATTAATGCTTGTATCGTTATTTGTTAAGTGTGTGTGCGCCGATGTTCGTGTGAGTGTGTGCCACCACAAAAGCAGCTTTAAGTTCTTCCAATCCTCCATGAGTAGATACTGCAGCTGTGGCGTTTTGAGCCGTAGAACTTTCCAAGGCCACGGGCAATGGATTGTGTTAACAGTATCCTCACTAATCCCACGCTGATTTTTATTCCCCGGCTCGGGTATTCGCTTCTTTTTACATTCTCTCCGGACCAACCAGCAACTTCTTACACACATCTTCAGGCTGAGTGTCTGAACACCACAAATAGACTACAGACCATTGTGGAAACAAAGGCACATGTATGGCTGGGTCTTTTGAACTGCATGTGTGTGTGTGTGTGTGTGATAGTACATTCACACCTGATGACTGTTTCAAGGTTTGGGTTCAGGGTGTTTTAAAGAACTTACTTGTACGTATGCATTTTACAAGTATGATTTTAATGGATCAAAACATCATTAATGCTCTGAATATTTTAAAAAGGATTAACTTGTATTATCCTTCACTCATAATTTAATCATAAACCAAGTGTAGAAGCAGGATGCAGCTCATCTCTATGTAGAAGGTGGTACCCTTGCCCAGCTAGCGGCTGAGAGAGGTCTCCTGCTCCTGATAACATCAAATATTTACACACAAGACCTTGAAAGGATTTTCAGAAATCCAAAAACAGAAAATCTGATGCAAGCACCAACTGCTAAATATTTTGGAGGAAGTGAATATACTGTTTGTTTGTTTCTTCTCTGAACAGGGTAATACATATATTACCTGCATGCCTGGCCCCGTCAGAAGATGGAATTACCCCGTACCTCTGTGTTTAGGTAATATATTATTTTATTCTGTCTGATATCGTCAGCATACAGGGTTTCAATGAGGTGATATTATAGATGACAAAAGCATATTTGTTGCATCAAACAGACTCACTCTCACTTTTGTCTTTTTCCATTTACCTTTTCTCATTCGCTTTTTTGTTGTTTATCTATTTTCTACTTCTCTTTTTATTATATTTCTCCCATTCTAATACCTTACTCTTACACAACCACACAATAGATCAGTGGCCTCACAGAGGACTTGTTATTGTATTAGGGAAAGCAACAATTTTATTTTCAGATCGGGGAAGGGAATGATAGGTGGGAGTGGGTGGCTTGGGGGAGGGGTTTAAGAATTTTATACTTTCCCTTTGAGTTGGAAACAAATAAGGCTTTGCACCATGTCAGTTTGTTACTTGGTGTTTTTGATCCCCCTGATGAGTCTCTGGTCTCCCTCAACACGTCTTCTGAAGTTGATTGCCACAGTGACAGATTCCAGAGATTACTAAGGAAGTGCTCCACTTTGTGTTTCGACACAAAGTAGAAAAATGTGCACACGTGTCAGTGTAAACACTGTTACACCCCCCTGCATGTGAACACAGGCAAAAAATGCACTCTTTCCCACACAAACACACACTTGCTGTGCTCTTCATGTAAATGATCTGTCCCTGTGGTTTTCACAGTTCAATGCAGACATAAATCCCAGCTTTGCAGTTGACAGGCCTTTTCTTGTATGCGTGTGCTCGCTCGTTAGCCCAACTCCTCGCTCGTCTGCAGTGCATAAGCTGATCCCAACACCCGAGGATCTGTAGTCACTTTGTTGCTGATAAACTTACATCAAAGTGGTTGCATGCCCTTGTGCTCGACAGTAAAACATCCTCATAAATGCCTCTTCGTTTTCTCTTTATACACAAGCAGGTAAAGCAGGTTTCCCCCACTTACATCCCAGGATAGTTTTTGCCTAATTCTGGCTTTTTGTGATAGTCCCCAAAGAAATGGCAGCAGTAACCGTTATGTTTCGAGCCTGTTGAGGTTAAGATGGTAAAAAAAAAGGGGAATGATCCAGCTACAGGTTTTACATTGATGCCTCTGGTGGCTGTCATTGTATCACACCTGGGTGTTTATGTAAGAGTAGGGCATGTGCCACAGGAGGAGAACGGGGGGGATTGAGAGTAACCTTCACTGCGAGCCGAAGTGTTCTCTAACACACAGTCAAAGAGAAGAGGTGGGCTGTTGCAGGGGGAGGGTGAAGTAATCACTGCCACCGCTGAGCACTGGGGTGCTGTACTGAATATTGACTCCCTCATTTATTTTAATTTAAAGCACCACCAAACAAGGAATGTGCCTCAGTCTGTTATCTTTTCACAAATGCCCTTATGGAGCGTAATCCACACAGTCAAGCAGAGATGTACAAGCACAAGTCACAGACACGCTCAAACACTGATACATGCAAACACTTCATTTTGTCTCTCGCCCACAAAGCTGCCCTCATAGAACATATGTTTGTGAAAGCATGTTGTGAATGCATAATCAGCCCCAGTATTCTTTCCTTTTGCTACATATACACATAAATCATGCATTTACTGTAATCAGAGACACAAGGCTCTTGCCCCCCCCTGGATATTTACCACCTCACTTGTTGTTTTTCTTAATTTTTCCCATTGAGCTTTAATCTTGATAAGTGACATTTTCTTTTTCCTTGGTCTGTCTCCCTCAGCTCAGTGTGGCGGGTCTATGACAGACTTCAGCGGCGTCATCCTCAGCCCAGGCTTTCCAGGGAATTATCAGAGCAGCCTGGACTGCAGCTGGAGAGTTCAGCTCCCCATTGGCTTCGGTCTGTCATCCCACCCTCTGTCTTCTCCTTTCTTCTCCTCTTTCTTTTTCTTTAATGTTCTGCTAGTTCTCATGACTTCTGTGCTGCTTTCTTCTACATTGCACTGTTATTCGTTTCTCCTCTCCTCATTCTGTTAGAAAATAACCCACTTCTTTTATGTATGCTTTAAACTTTGAATTTGAAATACAGTACTTAAAAGGAAGATACACATTCACTCACCTTCACTTTATTCATATATTCATGAAATGTTCACATATATTAACCCATTCCTTTTGCATTTTAGGGATCCATCTGCAGTTTCTGAACTTCTCAACAGAGCCTGTTCATGACTATCTGGAGGTCCGCAGTGGAAGTCTGGAGACGGGAACAGTGATTGATCGGTTCAGTGGTCCCATGGTGCCCAACTCCCTCTTTAGCACCACACACGAGACCACACTGTTCTTCCACAGCGACTACTCCCAGAACAAACCTGGCTTCCACATTGTCTACCAGGGTGAGGAGCTAAGATTAGTCCCCATGGCAAAGTAAAAATCGGGTGTTATCATAGCGGCAGCTGAAAAAGCGGAAGATTGAAAAGTTTGCTAATAGAACTCTTAGAAGACCATCAGTCAGGTCAGAGACAGATCAGGGACAGCGATTAGTCCTGCAAAGCAGACACTTCTACTGAGGTTGTAAGATTACAAAAGGGTAAGAGTAAAGAAATCAATACGGACTTCTGTTGAGACACTTAATAGCACATATCATTGAATAGATATAGGGGTGGATATGTCAGTGAAGTACTGTATGTGTAAAAGTAAACGTAGAAATAAATATTAGTTATAGATAGCACAAGATAACATGACATAACTTGAGTTTTTGCACAAAACCTTGTGCTTTCAAAAGGTTGATAGAAAAATAACCAGGCTTACATTTTTTACTTAATAGTTAGGAAAGGATTTTTTCATGTATTTATTTCTTCCCAGCATATGAGCTACAGAGGTGTCCAGACCCACGACCATTTCGTAACGGCATCGTGATCGGTCAGGACTACAGTGTGGGGATGACTATTTCCTTTGAGTGCCTGTCGGGTTACACTCTGCTCGGAGAGCCATCTCTCACTTGTCTGCACGGAGTCAGCAGAAACTGGAATCACCCCATACCTCGCTGTGAAGGTGATTGTCTTCTGTCTGATAAAATCACAACAGGTGTTTTTCAACAGTGTTGGTCATATGTGGATACAAAATCAGTCGTAGTTTCCCCAAACTCGTTTGGTAATATTAAAAAAAAAGTGCACTAACAAATCCTTGAGAAAGTCATGCTTCTTTCTGAGAAGCTGACTAGACTAAAGAAGGAGGTGCTTTTTCCTACCCATTAAAAATAAGACCCTTGAAGTTATTTTGAATATAAGAATATACATTTTTTTACGTCTGTTTGTAGTCCTGTCCTTTATTCTGGCACATTAAAGCATCTGACTCACGTTTACCACCACTTCTCTGAACTATAAACTGATACAGCTCATTACAATGATATATGGAGCATTTGCAAGTCTTTATTACAAAGCTGATTATGCCAGCCTCTGTTGTAAATTTCAAGGAGACTTCTCAGATGTTTCTCAGGTATGATGAATAACATCTTTCCTCTTATCAGTTAAGTAAAGCAGTGACATGCGTTTCACAAGCACAAACTTTGGTATTTGTTTGAGAAAAAATTGATTTGTTATGCTCCGTAGACACTGCATTGTCACTGTCAAGTTTACAGTTCTTTTTAATCCCGGGGACAGCGCTTTTGGCTTTGACTCTGAGTTCAAAGTCAAATTTTAGCACATCCCCTCTGAAGAGGTATGACGGGGGAGTTTTAGTGTCAGAACCCCTCAATGTCATCAAGTTCTAGGCAACCAGTAAAAATCCCCTGCAGTTATAGTATATCTTACAGGTGCACCCCCTCCCATTTTCTCAGTGATAACCAAATAACGTGAGGTTATGGTTTGTTTTCTCACCAGTTAGGACTTAAATTTAATCAGAGTCAATTTTTATCCAGCCTCTCTGACTTTCTCCCCTCCCTCCAGCTCTCTGTGGTGGCAACATAACATCCATGAACGGCACAATTTACTCTCCCGGACACCCAGCCGAGTACCCACACTTCCAGGATTGTATGTGGACTGTCAGAGTGCCTCCCGGTTACGGCATCTCCATCAACTTCTCTGTTATAAACACAGAACCAATCTACGACTACATCACCGTGTGGTAAGTATTAATTTATTTCTCATTATGTTTGTCATCAAGCATCAGCTTATGTTACACACCCAACACAAACTAGATTTACAAACCAGTGATTTAAAAAAAAAAAATTAAGTAATAGTGAGCCAAAGAATGAGTCGATATCCTTATTAAAGAATATAGATGTGTTCTTTAATACAGTGCTATGCTAATAGAGCAGATCCCAAAAGGTTTGATAAGTGAAGGGTTCTTTGTGGAGACTATAGAAGATTTTCTGTTGAGTGCATATTTCCCTTGCTGCAAAGGGAAAAAAAATGGAATGCATTGAATTTAAAAGTTGACAAAACGTTAAGGCTGCAGGCCTGTTGGACAAATGTTGCTTACAGCTCCTGATGTGACACCTATAATGGACGAGCCAAGAACCGTCCAGATATGTTGACCTTTGTCTGGACTTTTGTAGATTTATTTTCCCCCTGACAACTTCTTTCCTTACGACTCTTTGCTAAAACAGAAAAAGATTGCTGTGCGTGATGAAATGAAAGAAACCAAGTCCAAGGCTGAGTCACTGTGTCCCTCTTCTCCTCTTCACCAAAATTAAAGTAGATGTTTAACTCCACGTCTCCAGTGCATCAAATAAAAATACCTGTTAGTTAGTTATGTAGAAACAAGAGAAACTTTATCTCTTCAGAGCAGTTAACTATAATACCTGCTTCCTATCACTCTTGCAGCTCCCCCCCTCCCTCTACCTGTCTGCATCCTCTCTATACTATAGTTGGCCTCAGGCAGTCATGGAGCTGCCCTCATGGGGGTTAAGGAGGGAAATGCCTTGCAGCATCTAGGGCTATGATTCAAAGTACAGGAGGAGGGAGCTACTGGCATCACTGTTTTCAAATGAAAAAGTGCATAAATGATCTTTCCCCTGATGGCAACAATACATGTCTCCCATTTTGCTGATCACCCTGAAATGTCAAAGACTTTTTAACACATAAAATATGAAGGCAAAAACACACATGCAAAACAGCATTTAGTGTACATCATTCAGGTGAACGCTACCTGAAAGTGTCAGGACTGTTCTCTGGTGCAAAGAAAGTGTTTCTAACAGTAATGTTTCTTTTTATATTTAGAGAAAAGTACCATTTCACACACAAAGATTGTTATCCATCTTGTTTAGGCAACTTATTTCTGATACAGATCGTGGCGATGTGCTCACCAGGGTTTTCTCCTCCTCATTAGCAGAGGTGCTTCTGTGATTTTTCAGTTGGCAGATAAAGCGCGCCTCATAAATGACTTCAACACTAATGACAAATGCTATTATCACCCCAAAGCCACCCATCCATCTTGGGACGGGGGATATTTTGTAATGTAAATATCCTGAAAAAGAAGATCAATATAGAAATGATGTATAATAACCCGGTGGGAATGTGCGTGTTTTGCCACAACCAGTGAATTAGATACCTAACAAATTAAGGTGCCTCATCACATAGATTCACATACATATTTTAAAAGTCTAAAAAATGCAATTCTGCCATGAATTAATCCTACTCACTGAATTGCACCCATTGCTCTCAATCACCTAACCAAGCCAAAGATAATAATGGGGCTAGAAACCTCAGTAGTGATGGTGTAAAAAATCCCAACTGCCCATCCATTTCTACTCACCTCCCTCCAGCTCCGCCTCTGGGATCCTCAGGTCCACCTGGACCACCTGAAATATATAAGCAAGTGCTGGGTCTGCTCCTGGGGTCTCCTCCCAGTCACTCTTGCTCCACAGGGAAGCGTGCCAGTCATCCTAATTAGACGGCTGCGCTATGTCTGCTGTCTCTCCTCAGCAGGTCTGGTCTGAGTTCTCCCGAATATCTGACTCGTCACTCAGCGACCCACAACCTGCAGAGGCAGCTCATTTCAACTCTCTGTGTCCATAAATCGAGAACTTCACCTTCAGGCTCAGCTCCGTTTTCAACATGACATTTTAGTACTCTGCCACTTGTCAATTTCACACTTCATTGTAACCTCATTCAGGAACAAGGCCCACAGATACTTAAAAAAGTCTTTCACTTGGGGCCACTGCTCCAGCTGCCAAAGATAGATGCTGTCCAAGAGATGTGTCAAACATGACAGGCCGACAACATTCATGGCCTTTAGCATCTCAGGGTGAATCTCATCCACTGCTGGTTTGAGGTCGGTAACTATTCCATTGACAGTTACTCCCCTAACCTCTTATCTTCAAATGTGCTGTGTAATTTGAAGGTGCCTGGAGGACTTGGTAGACTAGTTTTCATCACTTGAAATATATCAACATTGACACATAGTTGCCACGTTTCGTCTGTGCCGTGCCATTTACTGTAAATCAGGTTTGATTATCGGACTAGAGATACAGTAAGCTGCCATGTGTACGTATGAAAATCTATGTAATCGATTTAATACAAAATTTAATTTAGATTTTCCAAAGAGAAGGTTACAGTTTCTTCTACTTTGCAGAATTCAGATAAATGCTTTAGCAGGCTGCTCAACCATGAATTTGCTGTAACACATGCTTTTATCCTTCCAGGGTCGCAGGTTCTAAAGCTTTGTGATAACCATACACCTTTATTCTATACATACATGTGCAGAATGTTAACTGTCTCAGCTAAATTTCACAGATTGTTTTATCCATCCATCCATTATCTATACCGATAATCCTTTGAGGGCAGCAGTGGTAGCTGGAGCCAATCCCAGCTCACATCAGGCAAATGGCCGGGTTCAACCAGGACAGGTCACCAATATATCCCAGGGTCAATATACAGAAAGAAACAAGCATTCACATTCACTAATCTCCAGTCATCCTGCATGTTTGAATGGAGAAACACACACACAGGGAGAACATACAAACATGTTGAGGTGACATTGCTAACAACCTTGCCACCCAGATTGCTTTATATGAATAAAAAAGTCACAAAAGCTGTTTTGCATAGTTTTACATTTTCTTTTGGCCCAAACTTCCTCATCAATATTTAACTCTGGGGCAAAAGTTTCAACTCTTCACCGCCTCCTAACTTATATACACAACTTTGACACTGTTGATTAATGAGAAACTTTTCTCACATTGGCAGAATGACTATTAGGTCCACAAGACTGCTTGAGGATAACTAGACCTGCTCTTTGATCCCAGCAAGTTATTACTGCTATTTATTCATAAATCATTTGCTCTCTCCTTCTCCCTCTCTCTCCTCCTCCCACTCTCATTCCTTTTACTCTTTCAATCTATCTTCCTCACATCCCCTGCTACTTCTGATTCTGTCAGGGATGGACCTGACCAGGCCTCGCCTCAGATCGGTCAGTTCAGCGGCAGCTCGGTACAGGAGGGCGTGTCCACCACCGCCAATCAGATCCTCATCAAGTTCCACAGCGACTTCAGCACCAGCGGCTTCTTTGTGCTGCATTATTACGGTAACCTCCCTTTTGATAGTGGCTAAGTAAAAATCTTGTCCCACACGGCTCTAATGACCCTTGTTCATTTGATCTCCAGCTCTCCACACTGCAGGGAGCCTGCTGCAATAGTGAAGATCAGTAAAAAACTGAGAGAGTGTTCCTGTGTTTCAATATTGGAACGCCTTTCTTTCTTTTCCAGGGGTCTTTATCAGGCCTTTCTCATGTTGCTGCTGCTTCCAGCTCTGTGTAATGATAAATGTCCTACTATGCCTCCTCTTTTTCTGCTGCATTATTAAAACGCCCCTTTGAAAGAAGTTTATTAGTAATAAAATGTCCCCCAGCTCAGGTAAATTAGTGATTGGTTTTTGATGATCATAAACAGTGATAGGTGGCAGTTTATGATCCATTTAAGTGTCAGTATGAGAGTAAAGAATATGTTGCGGTTCAATAGAAAATACACACACACACACAAACACTGTATCTTCCTGTCTTACTTGAGTGCACAGATTTCAGTATGTGTCCTCTCCCCAACAGCATACCAGCTGAGAACATGTCAGCCACCCCCTCCTGTCGCCAACGCCACTATCCTAACCGATGATGACGAGTTTGAAATAGGTTTGTCTTATTTTATTTCTCTTGTTTACTGGCCAGGGGAATACATGATACAATAAATTTGCACCAGACACAACGTAATTGGCATGGAAAGCCCTGGACAGAGTGGAAAAATAAGACTAGACATATCGAAAAAATGATTTTGAACTATAATTAATTACTCACTTGATTTTATTTTTTGTTTATTGAAACCATTTTTATTTGCCTTTGTGAATGTATTAACCCATCAATCCATTCTCATGGGTTTACTTATAAATTTTGATATCTCAATCCTCCTGCATTGTGCTCTTTGTCTCTTTCTTTTTTGCTCTTTGCTATTCCATCCTGTATTTCTTTCCTTCCTATTGAGTGTTTGCCATGTGTTTGTGCTTCGTACAATAAAGTATTAGTTTGAGGGCAGGGCTAATTAACTCTCCATATAAGCTGTTTGTATTTTCAGTGTTCAGAAGTGATTAGCAAACTGAAGTGGAACCCATGTGGCTACTGGCTGCCTTATTTTCAGTCTTTGAAATTGAGTGTAATTTTGATTTCAAATGTGTGTGCGTGTGTGTGTGCTTTCAAGTTTGCCGCTCTGTAATGTAATGAAGTGCCTCCAGTACAGCTAGGGCATGTCACTCTTCATTAGGAAATGTGTTGTCGATTGCTGTTTCAAGTGCTGGTACTGAGGAAACTTTTTACTGACATGGTTTTGTGGGGATGTGTGTTTTGTGTGTGTGTGTGTGTGTGTGTGTGTGTGTGTGTGGGTTTGTATGACTGCGGGTGAAAATGACCTCGCAGGGGACATTATTCGATACTCGTGCTTGCCAGGCTTCACCTTGGTGGGCAGTGAGATTCTGACCTGTCGTCTTGGAGAGAGGCTACAGATGGATGGACCCCCACCAGTCTGTCAAGGTTGGTTTAATTCAGCGTGGGTTTATGAGTCTATTAATATGTCATGAATTTGTGTGGTTTTATAACTCTTACTGTGTTTACTTGTCTTAATATTGTTCTGTGTGTGTTGTTTTTAAAGGTTGATTTCTGCACATACACTCAACACATACATTTGTTTTTGTATTGATGTTCCGTTATGTGTGTCTGTGTGTGTGTGCACTTTATGCTACTCTGCCAAGGTTGCTTGCAGTCAGCAACACCTACTGTTGATGCATCACTTAACGGACTGCCAGCAGGGCCCCTTCTAGCAGGTTCCTGGTGACAAACAGCATCTCCTCTCTAATTAATCAAGCCTCACAGAGTCAGAATGCTACTGACCTAAGATCATAGACCTGTGCTCCCTTAGAATCAACACTGGACTGTGAAGGATCAGTGGGAAACAAATTACTCATCAGCAGGTTTCATAGACATGTGTCTTTTTGTAGTATATCAAGGGTGGGCAACCATAGCTGATTTGTTTCTTTCTCTGTAGAAAGAGAGAGCTTATTTTTTACCCCTTAATCCAGCTCAAATGGCCCCATGGGTTTGATTGATATAAAAAGTCTCCCTCCCATGTTTTTACAGAAGATGATTTTTCAAACAAGAAACAAAGGGAAAGAAATGTCTGTGTTGTCTGCATCAGAGACTTTGTTTAGACCAAAAAAAAACAAATGCCATCCGCCAGCCTGTCGTGCCAATACATCTTCGCTGCAGACAACAGAGCTCTCTGAAAACCCCTATTCCCTATGGTTAGACATCTTTTGATGAGCCCTGAAGTCCTTTCTCTGCAAGTCTTGAGCTGATGAGCATTTCTGTCTTTGTGTTTCTTGAAACTATGAGAAATCGTATTGGACTTGTGATCAAGGAATGACAGATACTCAACAAACCCATAGCCTGTGTTCAAAAAGCCTCTTAGAATAGGACTAGTGATTTGGAAAGTATTTGCTCTTCCCTGCCTCTTATTATTTGATGTGACTTGATAACTTGTTTCTCCCCCTAGAGCGATTCTGCAGCTGACATTGTTTTGCTTTTACAATTTCCAAACTAGGTGATTTCATGTTAGTATTTGAAAAGTGTCCCAAGCAAAGCAACACTTAGGCCCAATCCCATTTCTCCCCTTCTCCCTACCTCTACCCCTACCCCTTGTTTTCGAGGGTTATCTTGCTCTTGAGGTTTGTTGTCAGAGTTGAAGTGTTTTCCTGCTTTCCCTCCGTACTATGACAATAATTGTAAAGCACAATGACATTTTACTTTTATCCATTGGAAATTGAAAAGCTGGGATGCTCAGCATTCTTTCACATATACATCAAAAGCACACAGCTTGCTAGCAGTAGTCTGTTGACAACCCTGCATTGTTATTAGAGGAGCAGTTAAGTTCAGTGACATCACTGCTATACGCTGCTTAAATCAAGTGCTTCATGTATCTTCAAAGAGCAGGGATGCAACATGAGTTATTGTTAAAATACGGGATTATCATGCAAAAAGAAATCGCTAGCATAACCATTTTTTTAAGGTTGTTGTGAAAAAATGTACCATGATACATTGAACTGAAATATTAAAATCATTATCCTATCTTATTGAGAAAATACTACATTTGTGGGTCTCTCTCCCATCTTGCTAGTGATTTGTGAGGCATTCTGGGAAATTCTCATAGCCCTCGGTTTGAAGTGTGGATCTGAAAAATCTCTATTTCGAGGGCTGTACAGCCCTAACTCTTGGCCCTCCCCCTTCATCCCAACAAGTATCTGCACACACAACCCCTATACGAGAATGCACAAAACAGAGGAGAAGGGCTAAGGGGAAGGGACAAGTGTTGAAATGGGATTGGGCCTTAGTAACGGTAAAAGATTAAGTCAAGTAACCTCATCAGTGATCCAGGATTCTGGAAGCCGTTCATATTTTTGTACTGTATTTATGAAGGCCACAAGCTGGACTGCTAGTGAATGTCTCTGTTAGCGTATGCACAAAGGTCAAACAGGGCTAAAGGATGGCAGTTTGATAAAATGTGCATTGATGTCGGTGTCCTGAAAACAAGGCTTACCTTCCCCTCTGCTGCAAAGGCCCTACCTAACATTTTTCTAAATTAAAAATGTATAATACAAAAGGGATCTGAAATCTTGCTACATTGTTTTTTTGCTTGACATTATTTTTGCTTGACATTACAAAGAGAGGGAGAGAGATAGAAGACAATGGAGCTTCATCGCATCCTGCATTATAATGTTCTGGCATACAAATCACATTATTCTGAATGAATGGATTTGTAGTAAAATGCTTTCCAATGTTCAATTCCATTGCTCTTTTTAAAGTGACCAATTAGCAGATCAGCAACAAGCAGGAGCAGTTTGGAATAATGTGATATGTTCCTTTTGTGCCAAGCGAGGGCAGTCAGTCAGTCAGTCAGTCACTTGAGAATAGTGGAAGACATTTCAACCTCTCTTGTTATGTAGGGTTTGCCAGCTCTCACCTGCTCATGTGTTACTGACTACACAAAGCTCTGCCAACACCAACTAGCTGCTCTGAGTGAAAACCCTCGTACTGTTATTGAAATTATTTCATAAGCTTCAATATAAATGGCTAAATTAACCTTCCAAATCACGATGGGTGAATAATCCAGGTGGGACTAGACAACATTGTTTTTCATTTGATTTCATCGTAGAAGGCTAGATGTCATAAATCAGCATTTGTGATATTTGAAACATTTTTGAAGTTGGACATCGAAAAGTCTGTTGTATCACAGTAAGTTGTGTTGCGTTACATCAATTGTGTTACTAGTAAAGCTTGGGGTGCTCTACATGAAGTCATGCTTCATTGATGTGAAATGTTCCAAAACATAATGAGTTTTGCTCATCGATTTCAACGAGTATTGTATGTAATACTATGTGCGTAACCCAAACAAAATTGATTGTCTGAAACGCTATTTTGAAAACTTTTCAACGGGCTAAGAGCGCCAACAAATAACTTACATTTCCCATAATGCATGTTTCTTTTTTTTGCCAGTATATAAGTAAATCACAATCTCACGCACATCTCATCTCCAAAGGGAAAACCTGAGAACCACACAATAGTTGCACCCGGTCTTAATGGGTTAAAGTGTTAATCAAAATGGGCAGATGATGAGCCCTCATATTTCCCCTGATCGAACTGCTCCATTAAACCTGCCTTGAGGAATAGTCTGGACTATTTTGGGACACGTGGATTAGTAATTCGTTGTCTGACATTTCCATGGATCACCTCATTATTGTAGTGAAGAACTCATTGCATTTTCTAATATTGGGTATGTTATGTCCTTGTGCCACCTGTAGCAAGAAACTAATTGCTCTCCTTGGGACATGTAGAGTTGAACTTAATTTGAGTTGACCTGCTATTCACATCGCAGAGACTGCTACAATAAGCCTGTAATGGGGCCATTTCCTGTTGGCAGCTTGCCGACAGGGCAGGAAAAGGAATTCTCCTGTGTTCCCTGATTCTGCTTTTGTTTGCTGTCAACCCTTCTGTTAATTGTCATTTTAGGCTTACAAGATAACACTGAAATGTCCTTGCATGGCTATGCAATTTCACCCCTAAATGCCCCTGGTTTGTAAGATATTTCCCCAGGCTCTGACTCGCTGAAAGCCTACGAGGAAGGTTACCCAAAAGCTTTGATCAAGGATAGAAACACGAACAATAAAATAAATTCACCATATTTGTCTTTGTAGCCAACGACAGGGCAAAACAGAAAAAAAAAGAAATGGTGGTTTATACAAGGTAATACCAAGACGTGTCAGTTTTAACAAACACGAATACATTTTACATTGAAGCAAATCATGTTTTAATATATTCAGTTTTATCACAGTCAGTACTATATATAAGGCGCAGCAGATGATATCAGCATTGAGTATTTACCTGGATGTAATTCAGTGGCTAAGGATGGTTGGTCAATATACTAATTCACAGTTTAATGCTTATTCCCTTGAGATACGACGTGTCCTCTCTTTACAAGATAAAATGAAATTAGAAATACACTAAGGTACTAAGGTACAGAGGTCTAGATTTGTAGTCTAGCTATCATATAAACACATTGTAAGCTTCGGTCTGCTCTCGGGGTAGCATTCTATCCTTATCAAGGTTTCTCTAAAAACTCATCCCACAAAGTAGCAGTATCGATGTGTCTGAAACAGTTTTAAGCCTCTCATAATTTATTTTTTTCAAACGCTGCACCAAAGTCTGAGGCAAAGCAGTTTAAGCCACAACTCTGCTCATTGGAAAAGGTTTGTTGCCTGGCAACGTTAGCTTATTAAACAAGTACCGGGGGCTTATTTATTTCAATAACAAAGTCACCCAAATAGATCCTTCTATGTACAGCATGTGACATCTTTGTAATATCTATATATGTATATATCAAAAGATTGTAATATAATGTATAGAATCTTAAAAGCCCATTATATCATGATCTCCTGTAAGGAATGTGGATGTGTACAGTGTTTCAAGGGATTTGGGGTCGGTGCAGGAGTGAAATCAGTAATTGCTAATAGCAGTTATTTATAAATTAAGCAGAAGTTCTGTGTTCAACAAATATTCCCACTGATGCCAGTAAAGCAGACGCTCCTCCTGGTGTCAGAACTGAGGAAGCAGCCATGTGAACTCCTGCAAATGCAGCAACTGAAGCCCCATTTTGATCTCCATCATATTGCCAATGAGTCATAAAAATTGTGTGGCACAGACTCTGTTTTTCATATGAAATGCAAATTCAAGTAACTGAACTGCATAGAAACACTCAGACACCTTTTATTTTCTCTTTAGGAGTGTGTGGGCTTCAGAAAGCAGTGCACAGTTCCACAGTGCATGGTGACCCTATGTGACATTAGCCTTCACAATGTGAAAAGCACAAGTTCATAATTTGCAGTTTTACAGTTACTTACGAGTAGCATTTTGGTATATATGTTAATTGCAGGGGACAACAGAAACAATAAGAATGCACTGTGATTTTTCAGATAATGCAAAAACTTCTGAAAATCTTACACAACCTTACAAGAAAAATATACATACAGGAGAATATTGCTCATTTATCTCAAACTGTTAGGAAATCAAGTAAATACTATTTCATATCTCGTCTCTTAATTTATTTTAATAGATCTGAATTTAAATTTGTTGCCACACCAATGAATGCAGTAGAGTGCTTCTATAAATATGGATTCTGCTGTGTTCAAATCCTACTAGTTTTTTTTATTTTTTATTATTTACATATTAATATTTGTAGATAATGTAAAGATATTTTTCTGGAGCTCTGTCCACACGGAGAGCTTTTCGTGTATTGTGTGGTTTAAGAACTACATTGTTATTTCAAAAATCACAGACTTTGACATTCTGAAGATCATATCTGTCTGTTATCTTTGAGCCAGAGGCTGTTCTGGTTCAGCCAGTTGAAACTTTTGCAGTGACTTGCCAGATGAAATATTCATGCTGCTATGTGTTACAATTCTTTCCTCCTGGCCTTTTTTCGTGATATACGTCCGATTGTTTCCAGTGACCTTTTTATCTGGAACAGTTGTTCGCGTTAACCTTTTATATGCGTCATGTTTCTTCACTAGTGGCCCAGAAGAGAAACGTCTGTTACCAGCACAAAGGAAAAGAAATAAAACAGGACTGTCATTATTTAAGACATGCCTGCTTACAGGAAATGAAGGGAGTGCTTAGAGCTGATACACAAGAACTTACACACACACATGCACACACAATATTTCTGTATAGAAATTCACTCTCTCACCCACTGAATATTATCTTTGATAGATTGATATCGGGGAAGCTTGGTGACAACAGCAGTTTCACCAGTTAAGCCTTCAGGTGCAATATCAATCTGGCTGAAATTTAATTGTTTCAAGACTAGTTCTTTTTTCACTGTAATTTCTGCTGTCACAGTAGAGCATTGCTTATTTCCTCCTCTCATGTTGCCTTCTCTGCTTCTGCTCGACTTTACCCTCCCTCCTTAACCTGAATACTCTTCCAGCCTCTGTCCCTTCCTCTTTTCTTGCTTTTTCTGAAATTCCTCCTCTGTCACTTTGTTTTCTTCTAACCCGACCTCGCTCTTTTTTCCCCCCTCTTCTTCCAGTACAATGTCCAGCTCACGAAGTGCGATTTGACTCCACCGGCGTGATCCTGAGTCCAGGCTACCCTGACAACTACCCCAATCTCCAGATGTGCTCCTGGCTGATTAACGTGGAGAAGGGTTACAACATCACTCTGCACTTTGAACTCTTCCAGACAGAGAAGGAGTTCGACATCTTGGAAATATTTGATGGTGAGTTCTGCTGAGGATTTGAGTCTTATTGAACAAGAAGTAGTCAGCAAGATGAAAACCAAGTGAAATCTTTGATTTTCGGTCCAAAACACTAGTGCGGTGTCTGTTCTCAACCTGCCTGTTTAGAATTGGCTCTTTGGGCTCCGGAGCTACTTCAGAATTATTTATTGTCATTAGTGAGTCCTGGAAATTAGAATTTAGAAAACCTTGTGTTCAACCTACCTGGTCAGTATTTGTATTGGTCACATGTCACAGGTCACACATGTTTATTTACATTTAATAAATATTTTATCATGTGTCCAGATCGCAACAAACTCGGCACTGTACTTCTCTGACCATTAATAATACACATGCAAAGTGTGACGATGATTAATTGAACGGTTTACTAGATGTGTTCAAAATAGAGATTTGTATATATTTGTACAGATATGTCAGTGTTTTTCATGTTCTGAATGTTTTATCTTAGACCTAGAATATTTGGTTCAACTAATGTGTTCAGTAAAAGTACCTGTGGTTTGTATTTGATACCATTATTAGATGCCTTTTAGAAATATCTGTCACATTTGATGTGGTCTTCTCACTTGCATAAATGTAATTATTTGTTGTGAAACCATTCACGATGCCTGTCCATTTTCTTTACATTATGCCTGTGTACGTGTGAACCTCTGGGTTCAGGTCCCAACATCTACAGCCAAAACCTGGCCTCACTGAGTGGTGACGTTGAAACACCCTTCAGCCTGACCACCTCAGGCCACCAGCTCCTTCTGCGCTGGTCCTCTGACCATGGCACCAATCGACGCGGCTTCCACATCAGATACGTGGGTGAGTATCAAAGTATGTATCCAGCTTATAATCATATTCTCTTTCTATTAGTGCTATTTGAATATATTTTTCTTCAAATTGCATAAAAGTGATAAAAGTCATGGGTTCACAATTCGGTCAGTTACATTTTTTGCTCTGTATACACACTTCAATTGAATAAGTGGTAACCCTGCATGGGGGCAAATATTATATCATCTCTGCTGCAACTTTTGAATATTTCTGTGCCCAGAACATGACCTGTGGTTTTTATCACAGTGTGCTGTGATTATTTCTGGATATGTATTGAGTTTTTAATTTCAGTGAATTTACAGAAATACTCCACAGGTGGGGGAGGGGCATGGCTGGGTTGACGGTTTGATTCCTGGTTCCCCGAAACACAGGTTGTGTCAGGAACAGCATCCAGCTTTAAAAATGTCTGCAAAATTAAAATAGGCAGATGGCGATCCACAGTTTCGACCCCTCATCCAGTTTCAGCCAAAAGATGAGAACAGCAACTACAGTATGCCCACAGAAATGATAAAGGCTCACAAAAGATGTTTTCACACACAAAAACCATGAAGGAAGAAGGTCACTAAAAAGCTTGGTTGCTCTTTTGTGCTGCTTAATTTCAAAGGTTTTAAATTCTTAATTGGCTGTTTAATAAAGCAAGTGGTGCTAAGCAAAAGCAGCACAGGGGATCGTCTTCCATTTGCAATACATCAATAATAATGAAAAAGGCACAAAAGGCATTCATATTTCATGTTGTGACTCTCCGTTATATCTAATACACACGGGTATGTTGGAGTGAGAGCATGTCGGCACAATGAATTTTGTAGAGGTCTCCTCGTTGACTTGATTGACTTGAACAGGAACTGACTTAAACTCCAGTGTGCATCTTTTCATCTTAAATCCACGCTGCCTCGCAGACATGCTGATTTGGAAGAATGTTTGACAGCATTTCTGAAGCGCACTGTGTTTTCCTGGATCCTCAGTCCCATTGGCTATTTGCTGCTCAAGCTTTAGAAATCAGAATGACCTTTTTGTGTTTGACAGGCTGTAAGATGAGGGACGAGAACGCTATGGAACAAGTAGCAGGAAGATGCAGCACTTGGGGTTGGGGAAGTCTACAGAACTAGACATATGGCCACGTGTACGGGGAAATAGTGTGATGGATGATGGCATCGGGTGGGGGTTACAGGTTTACTAAGTTTTACCTGGTATGGAGCAAAGTTATTGCAGGTTAAAATGATAAATGTGGTTGGTTGAAAACACAGTAAAAGATTAACTTGATGAGACTCCTAAATTAAACTTGTATGTTAGTCTCAGTGCTCTCTACACACCGCTGTCAGTACTTGTCAAAGATGGTTTGTGAGAGAGGATGCTGGCCTCAGCATGACTGATACTATCATCCTTAGAAACCTTTGCACCAGTATCACTAAGTGAATGTGTAAAATATTTGTGACACTCCTCAGGCGTTTCCCTCATTATCTTCCCTCATTCAACATGGAGGCTTACTGTGACTACATGTTCACCTGAATCTTATTCGAGAGGACCTCTCTTCTCTTTTCTCTTTGTCTCTTTTTCCTATAAATATCTTCTATCCTCCTTCCATGGCTTCATTCTCACCTTCTCTCATGTTTCTCTCTCCTCTCCTCCGCCGTGCCACTCTCCCATCCTCTCCCCTGTTCGTTAATTCGTCCATCTCTTGTAGCCCTGTACTGCAGTACCCCTGACTCCCCACAGCATGGCTTTGTAGTGAGCCAGACCGGAGGTCATCTTAACAGCATGGTGCGCTGGGCTTGCGACAGGGGGTACAAGCTGATTGGAAAGGGCACAGCTGTGTGCAAGAAGAGCGTCTATGGCTTCTACGCCTGGGACGCGCCAGTCCCTGCATGTCAAGGTGAGCTCATCTGCTGTGGCAGCCTTTTATTTCCAACTTCAGCCAGCCTCTTACCCTGTTCTTCTGGTCACTGCCTCTGTACCCTTACACTCAGCAGGCAGACAGGCAAGCGCTTAAGGCATCCGAGTGTCTCGTCCCAAACATTCCTGTGTTGTTAGGAGCTGAACTGAATCCAGCCTGATTGAGAGCCAGTGCCCTGTCAGGTGGAAAGGAAACAGAAATCAATCCCTCCTTCTTCTGTCAATTTCCACTTCTTCAAATTACTTTGGTTAACTTGCCATTAGCATGCAGTGTCTGCCGCTGTTGGGTCTCACTCAACTAATTGGGTTCTTTGATGCGCACACGTGAAATGTGTGCATTCTGGTGCCCGTGATGGCTCACACACACACACACACACACACACACAGCCACGCAGCACCAAACAGCAACAGATGGCGTGCTCAATTGCATCTTACCATGCTGCCGTGAAATCACAATATATATGTCATGTACTTTAAAATGATTTAAAAACACTTCACACCTGTGATTGATTCCGTCAGTTTGGTAATTGCACACAGCTTTTCTGGAGCACATAAACCCAACCATGGCTGCAAATGATCCAATGTATTCAGACAGATGCTGTCCATCTGCTATCTGCAGGATGATTGAGATTGCATTGCAGCCTGTTCAATCTTTCACTCTTTCCAATCCATATTGTTTGATAGGTTGAGAATGAGCAGTACATTAATCCATCACTGTTGCTCATGGATTTGAGAGACAGAGCGGGACTCTTAAATAATGGTTCAGGCCCACTGACCTTCTCAGCTTTGATCATTTTAAAAGAGTTCACTCTTTTTTTTAACTTGAAACTTTTCATCTGCAGTCTAGAAAGGCTTTGGGTGCTTGTAATTACCATTCGTTACCAAAAGTTCTCACAAATGAACATTGAACGCACCTTCGATGTTTCTCCATGTGCAACTGCTCCACTTTACGATGTGTGTATTTGCATAAATGTTTGTGTTTAGTGGGACCCTGCAGATATTGGTTTCCCCAATCTGTTCACTCCCTCTGACTTGGCTCTCACAATAAACACCTTGAAACCTGCTAGCTTTAGCTTTCTGCTGGGTTGAAACACTGGGGCTGCAGTAACACAAGATTTAAGAGATATAAGGACAAGGACACAGTGCTACATGGAAGGTGTTACTGTTTAAACAGTCACTTTATAGGTAGTTACTTTAATGAGTGGGTCTTCATTAAATGTAAGTCATTAGTGTGTTTTCAAATGACCCATTAATGACATCTTAACTAATCCTATAATTGTCTTTGAATTGGTCTAATAGCCTATTGTAAATCTTCCTTTATAAAATTAATGGAGGGCTTAAATTTTAATAACTTACCTTTCTGTGTGTTAGACTATCTCTACTGGGCCAGTCCTACATTTTAATGGATTCCTTTAACTGGGGAGAGTTTAAGAGCAGAGTTATTGATTCAGTGGTCTCTAATATAGTTCAATTTAAACAAATTACTTAGTTAAAGTTGATGTGAATCCACATTCCCACATCACTATTAGACATGCTAATGGGTGTGAGCACCTTGTTTTCCTTGTCGATGATGACTGTTTAAGTAGGTTTAATATATCAGCATTTTGGAAACGTTTTCAGCAGTGACCCTTTAATCGCCACTTATTCTATTAAAGAAGGCTCAAGGGCACCAGGCAGCATTGTGCACAGTATCAGGAGTCTTGAAGTGGGTCAACCAAATAAAATTGATTAATTATTATCACTGATATCAAATCTGCTGTGAAATATTTCTATATTTATGTAAGAGTCTGTTGTTGGAATTCTACAAGGCTGTTCAACGTCAACACAATGTGATTATTTCCTTTTTCGGTTTTTACTTTCTAAATGTGACTATTCAAAAGAAAAATAACAAAATAGCTGCTTGGGTAAATTGAAAAAATCCATTTCCTGCGCACCACAAATGGGTTTCTCTCTGTGGCGAGCACATACACACATACAGTACATGTGGCTGTTACTGTATGTGAATGTGCCTGCCTATCATGCCTGTGTTTACCAGAATTTCTCTGCAAATCCCTATAGGATGTGTCTTGTCTTGCGCATAAACATGTGTGTCGACAATCGTCGTCTTGTTGTCTGCAGCTGTGTCATGCGGTGTGCCCACCGCGCCAGTGAATGGAGGTGTGCTCGCTGCTGATTACTCTGTCGGCACACGGGTGACCTACTTCTGCAACAGCGGCTACCGGCTTTCCTCCAAAGAGCTGACGACCACAGTCTGCCAGCCAGACGGCACCTGGAGCAACCACAATAAGATACCCCGATGTATCGGTGAGTAGAGGGTGAGGATGGTGTAGAAAGATGGGGTAACCACAAGACCCCAGAGCACAGTGGTTCCCTGAGAGATGAAGATTAGAGAGAGCGGTGGAGAAAATGATTTTTATAATTTAACTGAATTGGAGACAGAATTAGTGTAAAATGTGTTTTGGAACACAACAGTTTTAACATATACTATACTGTTATGGTAGTTGCAGTCTCATAAGACATGAGTTGTGGTTTCTTTAAAGAAACTAACTTGTAGTAATGATAAGATGGATAGGTGAAAGGAAAGTGGAGAGTAACTCCAGCTCGGGGCTGGGTTGAGTGTTTTACATGCCATAGCAACTCTTAGTATAGTGAGTGACAGCATTGTTTACAGTTGAGACCAGTTGTTATTCCCTCCTGTAAATATGTCTCACAGCAGAGAAAGAAACAATCTTTTTTTGCAACCCATTTAGTTTTGCAGGGTGCCAATTCAAAAACAGCCTTGTTGCAGAAATTTGTTTTTTACATTTCAACACATAGATTAGTTTATTGTACTGATTACATTTTGTTGTATTTCTTCTAGACTGTTGTACATGTTAACAGGTTTTCACTCAGCCGCGGGTGTGAGAGGGATAAGAGAAGAAATGGAAACAGAAGTCATTCCATTTGAATTATCCAAAAAATAACAATGTCCACTCCCAGCTGAATCCCCTCTTCTGTTTTTTTTTTCCTTTCTGCCACAGTAATGATGTGCCCCAGTCTCAGCTCCTTCTCTCTAGACCACGGGAAATGGAAGATAGTCAATGGCTCGCACTATGAGTATGGCACCAAAATAATCTTCACCTGCAACCCCGGATACTACCGTGTTGGCCCTGCACACATACAGTGCCTGGCCAATGGAGTGTGGAGCTGGAGGACTGAGAGACCTCGGTGTAGAAGTGAGTGACTCCTGCAACACATACATTTTTTTTTTAAATCACATAGTCATGCACTTAAAAACTGAACTAAACAAAAATAGAATCTTATATAAATATAATAACCATCCAAGATTATTTTATCATTGCATTATTGTGAAAAAAAAACATCAGTGAAGGCACACACAGATGGCTTCTAGTCCCATCACTAAAACATATTAATTGAATTACGGAGAATGTCTACACAATGAGGTCAGGGCTTTGTTCCTTTCCCACTGCTTGAACCTTGCAGCAGGAGATTCTCAGCTCAGACAACAACACAGAAATCTCTGGAGCGTTCAGTTGAGGGGTGGCACAGCAGGAAGAGGATGGACGTAACAAATAATTTGCACTGCAGTCGTCATATGGTTTTGTTTCAGCACGTGGACACTGATCGCCAAAAGCCCTCTTGACATCTTTGTCTGTGTCTTCTACGTGTGTGAATATATTTGTATTATTTTTGTTTTATTAAATTTTTGCATGTTAGAATCATCATCAACACACCCACTCACTCGCTTTGAATCCTCTGGAGGATCTCCTGCTGTGTTCTTACATGAGCTCACATAGTTATTTTCTGGGGGGCTGGCTGGAGAAACTCCAGAAAGTGTGGACCCCCTCACTCAGACATTCTCACTTACAACCCCTGCAGAGATTATCAGGAGTTCAGTGCATGTTAAAATGCCGTTATACTGTTGCATTGAAAAGATAAAATATAAAGAAATTTGTCATTGTTATCCAGCCAGACTGAAAAATCTATGTCCTATCTCACCAAGGATACAGTAGATTCATTGTAACACCACAAGACTTGAAGAATAAATACCTTCTTCAATGCTCACTTGATCGGCCACTCAATAATTCACTTTTATACTCTTGACCTATTCCCATCTTAGCCTAGGTTAGATATTGTTTATTGTGGGACTGGGAAATACAAAGGTTTCCGTTTATGCCATGGAAACTACTTTTTGAGAGGTGAAAAAAAGCACTGAATAGCCATTGTAATAGTAAGAGGAGAAGACAACCAGAATGATGAAAGATGTTGGGGCAAAGGCAAACACCATCATTATCCTCTCCTTTAAATAGTACAGGTCAATCTTTTATCGCATTAAAGTTGCTAAGATGGGTGTAAACGACTGTGCTCCTCTATTGACTGTGAAGATGTAAGCCAACATCCATCTCCTCTTTCTTGTTCCCTCTCACTTTGCCGGTGTCTTGCTCTTTCACTCCCCGTCTCTCCATCTCCTCCTCCTTCGTCTTTTTTTATTATCTCCTGCATCTCATTGCAGTTATTTCCTGTGGCAATCTGCCCACTCCTCCTAATGGGAACAAAATTGGGATTCAGACTACCTTCGGAGCATCAGCCATTTTCAGCTGCAACCTTGGCTATGTTTTAACTGGATCTACTGTCAGAGAGTGTCTCCTGTCTGGCCTCTGGAGTGGGATGGAGACTCAGTGCCTGGGTAAGCAAAGTTGAAATGTTCTCTTAACGTTATCTGTTCAGACAGAGTGTGAGCTTTTTTCGGTTGGGCCAACATGCCCGTAATAAAACCAGATGGGGCAGCAGAGGGTGGGTATAATTGGTTTTGTTACAAAGCGTGTATGGCTGATGATTAAACATTAAGAGGGGTGTAGAGTTTTTTCTTGGGCGTGTTCTGACATCATGCTGGTACTCATCACTGCCACTGGCACACTTTGGACTGTTTCCGTGCTTGTAGAGAGAGTAAGGTAGAAGTTGTGCGAATGTGCAAACAATTTGACAACTACCTTAAGTGGATTGGATCGGGGTGATGTACAGTAAAGCCTGCGTGTCAGTGTGATTTTGTGTTGCTAAAATGTTAAATGTGAGCGAGCAGCTATAGAGCCGCAGCTGGCCGCAAACTATCAGACAACTGCCAAGCTGTACCAACACAATTTGAGCTGTTGTTAAGATATACTGTACAAACACGGAAATACGCTACAGCTTAGCTTACAGCAGCTCATCACGGCTCTGTGCTGTGCAAGAGAAGGAGACATGCGTAATTACTTCAGCCGCATTCAAACCCACACAGCAGCAGAATGTGACGGTTTCCCTGGAAGATGCATTAGTCCGTTTATCAACCCCGTGACACAAGCACTCCAGGCTCTGCTCGAGATTGGTTCACTTCATTAAAAGAAGGGCACCTCTCTCTTGTTTGGCGATACGACTGTCAGAGTTGACATAGCCAGGGACCTCTACAGTACAGTTGCCTACTTCAGCACTATCTTCATAAAATCTGGCTTTTCTCAACTGGGGTGTGATGATAAAATGCTTGACTGAGTTTCTGGGTGCAGGAGTAAATTAGGGAAATCAGACTCACAGTCAGTGGCAATTTCCCAGGTTTTAAGTGGCAGTGGAAACCTCAGCAAGATTCCTCCTCTCAAAAGGGATTTATTGTAGCTGAAAGTAATACAATTACGTGCATGAGTGTATTGCACAAATTCTGAAGACTTGCACATGCCTCTCTTTCTAGTGTTGACGAGAAAAGCTGACTTATCGCCACAAGTGATGCTGAGTCCAATATGAATTTATAAACAATAATTCAGATATAATGAGCCGAAAAATGCTTTCCAAAATTCATTATGTTTCATGAAGACACTCACCAATTTTGTTCCCACGCGTTGTAATTCCAGGACCCTTTCAAATCACCAGTTTGCACTTTTCATTTTATAACAGAGTTTTCAAAATGCGATATTATTCAAATGTGATCAAAACCGTGTTTCTACCACAGAGCTGTCCCTGGGCACCACTGCAGGCTATTATTCTTAGAAGCTTAAAAGTTGAACCCACATATTTCACCACATGAATGATTAACTGAAATAATTCCCAGTGATCTAAGTGCTTTGCATCTAGTATTAAATCCAGTCATCCATATTGGCTTCAACTGAATATCATCAAACAAAACAAAAATCATACATAACAATTGTTATAGGATGTGCTGTCTGATTAATACATTTGCTCAAGAAAAAAAGACATTTTGTAAGGAAGTTATGATACATGTTTAAATTATATTTTCTTTTTTCCTTCATTACAGCCGGTCACTGTGGTGTCCCAGAGCAGATTGTGAATGGGCAGGTGATCGGGGAAAACTTTGGGTACAGGGACACAGTGGTTTACCAGTGCAACCCTGGATTCAGGCTCATTGGCTCCTCAGTACGGATCTGTCAGCAGGACCACAGCTGGTCCGGACAGCTCCCAGTTTGCATCTGTGAGTGCTTTCACCAAACTTCTTGCCGACTAAATAAAGGGAGATGTGTGTGCGTGTGTGTTTATGTGTGAAGGAAAGGAAAGAGAATGGCTGTGGTTAAGAGTCTGACAGCAGTGAGTGTGCAAGTTTGTTTTTTTGCAGGGTTGAGGGAGTTTTTAGGTCACTGAGTAAGTCGAGATTAAATGGACAGGGTATTTTCCTGCATTTTTATGGCAAAAGAGAGCCACAAAATACTACGGTGCCTGTAAATACTACTATAAATGAATATTCCCAACATAGAAGAGGTTAGTCAAAAATGTATTAATTTGATTGAATTATTAAAATAAGTCGATGAATACAAAGGCTTTTATTCTTTTCAAATAATTAAAGCTTGCAATTACCATGCTTCCTCTTCCTTTGCCTGAGCAGCCCTGAAGTCTGTAATCAATAAATATCCTCATAATGTGATTCACCATATCCTATTCACCTATTGATGCACTGAAATGCGTTGTTTACCCTTTACCAATTGAGATCATGTCTCGATTCCTAATTCCCTTGTTGTCCTCTGAGGTTAATTATATGTTAATGATATTTCTATGATAGGTGTCACTGTACATGACCTATTGATTCTTTTTATTGAATTTGTCTCTCCTGTCTATTCTGTCTTTCTCTCTCTCCACACACACTGTGCCTTTCTCTCCCCTCTCGTCTTTACCTTGTTCCGCATCATTTCTTTCATCCTCCATCCTCTTCGTTACCTCCTCGCTTCACTCATGTTCCTGGACACGATGCACCTAAACTACAGCTGTGACATGCGGCCACCCCGGCAGCCCTATCTATGGCCGCACCACAGGAGATGGCTTCAACTACAATGATGTTGTGCGCTTTTCCTGCAACAAAGGCTACACCCTGGAAGGACCCTCCACAGCTCAGTGCCAGGCCAGCCGTCAGTGGAGTCAGCAGCCACCGACATGCAGAGGTAAGGTCCAGCTGAAGAGCTGCTGCACAGTGGATAAATAACTGGTGGGTTGACTGACTCGAGGAATCAGGAGGCTGCAGATGTATCTTGAACTAGAAAAGCTGTTTGTCTCTTCTAGCATGTTAAGCCCTTGCTCAGACCACACACACTCGTTTGATACAAGAATTTGGAAGCAGCCAATACATCGTATTCTTGTGCATGTCATTAACCATCTGCATCTGATCCATTTCTGAAGAGGGTACCTCTTGATGTATCACTACAGCTGAAGGTGTTTCATTCAACACATGCACAGGAGCCAATTCTATCTCATTTCCCTTCTGTGAATCAGGCTAACCATCAGTGGGGTGGGTAGCTGCCAGCAAGCAGAAGAAGGATCCAGCCAAAGTGTTGGAACAGAATGAAACAGCTTCCGCAGGTGCTTTGTGATGGTTCAGGAATCCCATGTTAGGATGACCACAAGAATTCAGCAGCCCGGCAGATGTATCATGATCATTCAGAAATCAGTGGCCAGCAACAGCCAGGATGCAGAGACACAGATATCGAAGCATAGTTGATAGAGATGGTGCTCACAGATCTGTTGATGTGTTCTCTGAAAACAGTATAGCATTAGGCAACAACATCTGGAGCCCTGGCCTCAGAGCAGAGGTAGGAAAATAGCAATAACGAGCTTGCGGCAGAGTGTATGGGAAGCAAAGATTTGTTTCTACAATTCTAACAATTTTTAGCACAAAGCTCTCTGCAGGGAAGGATTACTTTGGGCAAGGCAAGAAAGCTCAGTGTACATTCATCGCTAGATATCTTAGATATTTAATTGGGAGAGTCAGATGGTTGCTGTGTCTTAGTTGTGTCGAGTTTTAGTTTGCCCAGGTTCGGCTCATTAGTGTTGTTTTTAAGATCAGCAGCAATCCAGACATTTTTTCTGCACACCAGACCAAAAAAATCTTTTGACAGATTGACAACATGTCCCACAATTCAGACTGTTGTGCTCAAAATAAAGGCGGACAATATCACATAGATGTGTCCTGCTCTACGATGGATGCTCTTGATTAGATATCACTTGGAACATTAGCTTTTGCCTTTGAAAATGTGTCTAGCATGAGACACATGTGATGCATTTTGAAGCTATTAAAGGTAAATAGTGTGAATACTGTGTGGTCTTAACTGAGTGAAATGCTATAAAACAAGGTAACATACTAACATTAAATCAAAGAATAATTTGAGTGTGGCTTTAATTGGTCTGCCAACAGGATTTAGTCAGCCAACGCTCAATTTGCCAGACTTTGCCCATTTAAAAATATCTCTCCTCTTGGCATGCGTGTTGTTGGCAGTCAGATGTGAAGAGACAGAGTTTTCATTACAGTGAATAGCACCGTAGAGACAGACCTGGTAAAAGATCAAAAGAGTAAAATCATATTAAACTGTCATGACTCCCTTTGTCAAAATATGTCTGTTTGCACTAAAATATTTGAGGCCAGCTTCGTCGCAGGTTTACATTATTGATTTTAATTTGATGCTACTCTGAACTTAACTTCACCCTCATCTACTCTCGGCTGTCTAAACCACCTTGTCAGCAGTGTGGCTGCGGAGCGCACGACTGCTTCGAAAAAGGATGCTGTTGAATCTGCCACAATAGATGCGTCTTTTTGTTTCCAGCAGGAAGCATGAATTGCTATTATTATTGACAGTGCTTAAATATAGCCTGGACTCACTCATCTCGCTGTTTGAAGAATAAGCAGAAAAAGCCCCTGATCAGGTCATCAACAGTTCTATAATTAACTTACAAGTGAACATGCTGACAAATAGCGTTTATGTAAATGAGGCTCTAACCGAAGAGACAAGGCTGCGCAGCTTCCAGGAAAGAAAAGTCTCTTCCCCGGTGATGATACTGGGTGGAAGTAATGAGGCAGCTTAGCACATGGATGTTATGTTGTTTTGTTTTAGTACTCCATGCAAGGTAAAATAATGCAACTTATCTATTTTTTTTTGAAAGAAATAATAAGTCTTGATGTTGATGAAATTATCTGCTAGACTGCATGTTGCCAATGTGTTTACGAACACTTTTCTCATATCTTCTCTGACAAGGGCTTCTTTTGAGCTGTGACAAGTTTGAAATATGACATCCTGTGTTAACTCTGTGTCTTATCTGTCTATCTCATACTCTCCTCCTCCTCCTCACCTCTCCAGTAACCTTTTTGATGTCTCCTCTGTCTGTCGCAGTCCTCTGCTCTCCCCTCCTCTTCTCCTCTCCTCTCCCCTGTGATAGTCATAAAGAGGATCAGACTACGCCATGTAAAATCTAACTAAATGTCTCTCTTTGTCAAGTGAAGATCTAGTTTATAAACATAACATATTAATAAATGTATTCTACACGTAGCCTTAACCAGTTGTTTGAATACACCAACCAGATTATACAAAATTAAACCAACAAAGCCCAATTCCATCCTTTCCCATGGGGACTAGTCCTCTGTGCTTATTATTTCAAAAGATGTGATAGTTATACAACACGGCAACACTACTGGATGCCAGCTACAGGCCAATATTCCGCGCAGCAACAGATGTACATCAATCAGCGCTCGATTGCTATGTATTACTTACTGCAGTGTAATCAGTGGAATTTCGTGCTCTAATAATATTTATCTTCCATATGGCACTTTGGCACACTGGTGTGCCTTGGAATTATTTTTGATGATTTATATTGCTATAACCAAATGTAAAGGTGTGCTTGGGAAATACTTGTTTTTATAAGTGCACTTTGTGAGAACCACTGAAACAACTGAAGAACCCTCGTCTTCATCAACCTGAGCTTGCAGAGGAGGCAGTAAGAAGCTCACGTCCTAACCTCCTAACTCAACAGATGCAAAGAATAATTTGTCTTACTTTCTCCCCTTTTGCTTTCTCCACGCTCATATATATACATACAGTCCATGGTCCCAGGTAGTGAGAAGTAGATCAGGACCTAAATTCTACATTTGTTTTTGATTAACAACATTGTATTATTTTCAAGGGCTTTGATGCAAGACCAGATTAATAGATCAGGGTCTTTTTTTTAATCATCATTATTATTTTATAAGGAAAATTATTTATATCTTGTGTTTTTTTCTTTTTATGGTCTGGAGATATGCATAAAACATTCAGAGCCATAACCAGGCCTAACGACACCTTGATTGTACATATTCCTAAGATGGGTTTGGAAATGCTGCCAACAAGTGAATATTGCCCCAGCCAGGACAGTGCAGTGCACTGTAGCTTAAGAGAGCAAATGCAAAGAGACAACACAAATGTAACTTAACAAAAACATCTTTAGCAATTTGACAACACATGCAAAACACAACCAAAGAGACAAACACACTGCTAATACACACAACACAACCAAAAACAAAGCATTATCCTGTTCTTTACATTTAATTTATATTTTCACATAAAACCAACACAGATCGTTGTTTGTAATGTTGCCAGGAACTGTTCTGTTGTCCATCGATACCTTAGCACCTTTATGAAAAGGAGAATATATTACAGGTTGGAAAGTGTATTCATAAATAGACATAAGATTGCACTCAGGGCAACAGGAACACGAGTAATAGGTTTCTTTTTAACAGTAAGCTCTACAAACAGTCATGTGACTACGCTCCTGCAACAGTAATTTACATTAAAAACATCTGTCTTGCTTGAAATATTCTTGCAGCAATAAAAATGAATTGAACTGCTGCCTGTATTCCCCCATTATGTTTAACTAACTGAATAATGCGCGATGGCGTAACTTTCATTTTCTTTTTTTCAAACAGTTGTAAATTGCACAGACCCGGGTATCCCTGCCAACTCTATTCGGGAGAGTAAGATCGAGCACGGTAACTTCACATTCGGCAGCGTGGTCTTCTACGACTGTAACCCTGGATATTACCTGTTCGGCTCGTCAGTGCTCACATGCCAGCCGGTGGGACACTGGGACAAACCTCTGCCAGACTGCATCGGTAAAGTTTTTGTGTATACGTCTTGTCACTGTTCAGACTCAATCCACTTTTCTTTGTAATCAGTGAATTCTACACTGATGTGATGAATTAATACACTTTAAAGGTTCAGTGTGATTGAGGTGAAAGGGATTTTTGGCAAAAATTGAATATATAATAATCCTAGTGATGTTTTCACTGGTGAGTTTCATCTAAATTGTCTGAATTTTCAGATAGATAGATAGCATAACATACATTGAACATACATTAGACTTGACTTATGCATTAGAGTTAACTTATAACATAGTAACCATATGTAGAAATTGGCCTGAGGTGAATGTAAATTTAAATGTGTACAGAGGAATTAAGGAAATTAAATTAAACAATTGAAGCGAAATTAAACTTTACAGAGAAATTAAACATTTGCATAGGATTTCAATATATACAGAGGAATTTAAAATGTGCAGGAATATTAAATATTTGCGGAAAATGTGAATAGAAAATAAATATAGAACTGTGTTAAGTTAACCCGTGCTAATCGTCTAATCAAAAAAACTATATAAAAACTATAAAAAAATGTTGTTTTCTTTATCACAGAATGGACTCTTTATATTTAAAAACATCATATTTATGTGAATGGGGGTCCTCTCTGTGAAGGCCGCCATGTTTTTACTGTCGTCCAAACAGGACAAACTAAATCCTTAAGAGTTTTCATGACAACTGAAGTTCACCACAGGTTTTCTTTCAAGTTAGGAAGGGTGAGATGAAGAGTATTCAGCTGCAACATGAAACTTCACCTCTAGATGTCACTACATTCTACACACTGAACCTTTAAATGAAGCCAGATTAAGTGAAGAGAGAAGTTTCACTCTTGATTGGTTGTCCACAACCTTGTTTGTGTCCCCCATTTGCTTCTCGAGTTTTAATGGTGCAACTTTCTAAATGCTGTGATTGGGAGCATCTGTGTAATGTTTGATGCCCCCGTGGCTTATGGTTATGTTGCACACTGCCTAATTGAGAAATGAGGGAAACTGTCACAGGACCAGTTGTTCAGGCTATTGCTAATGTTCCCTCGAAAACCAAGCACTCACATTACAACAACCATCCATGAACTTTAGGGGTTATTCGAGGTTGTAATGTCGCTTTCAAACACCTGGCTCATCGTGCGCGCACACTTTTGTACGAGGCTGCCAGTGACAGTACTGACGTGTTTCCAGGGGAATCATCGAAAGTAAACCTCTACGTTTTGCACACAGTCTCGGAAAGCACTTCATTTCATGGTAGAGAGATGACGCACCGTATTTATTTTATCAAACGGAATAGTAATTAAAGAGATACACAGGAGTGTCTGTCTCAAATGTTTGTTCACGGCTCTGGGCGTCACTGAATCTCTGCTCAGAAATTAGTTTTTGGAAATTACAGAAACTTACTTTGCGCTATGAGACTACACTGAAGTGAGAGCTACCGCCCCCCTAACACACAAAGGTCAAAAAAAAAAGCACAAGCTAAATGAGCAAGAGAACTCATTTCTGTCTAACCAACAATCTACCTCTGTCAACACAAGCCTCTCTGTTCTACTTATAGATGTATGTGCCTTTACCTACTGAAATAATCAAAATATTCACTGTATCTGCTCCTGAAATATTAAATCAAATGTTTTTCTTCTGTCAAGCTGTTTTTCTAACAATAGAAAACAACGGGGTGTTCCAGCAACACCTGCAGCAGTGCGAGTTGTGATTTTCATCAAGCATGTCGAGGCATACGACACTAATCCATCCATCCGTTCATACACCCACTGATAATCTTATTTCCTCTCCGCACTCTGTCATGCAGAGGTTGACTGCGGCCACCCAGGGACACCTCCCCACGGAGAGATGAGTGGAGAGAAGTTTACCTTTGGCTCCACGGTGCGCTACTCCTGCTCTGGAGACCGCCAGCTCATAGGAGACTCATCACTCACCTGTCAGCTGAACGGTCACTGGAGTGGTCCACTGCCCCACTGCTCAGGTAAACAAACACTCACAAGTATAGTCATGCAGGATGCCTGCACGCTATGAAACAGAAGCCTCTCCTTTCCCCTCTCCCTCATGACACTGACAACAGTATCATATTATAGGAACAAGTAGTTTTATTCTATCATTGTATTTGAACTCAGTCTGTGCTTGGGCAGAATCTCCAAGTAAATAAATGGAATGATTTGTGGTTTGGTTTGACCAAACTGCAAAACATAGAAAAACATATACAAAATATATTTTCTCACTTGCCTTTAGTGATATCTACCACAGAGATAGTTTTAGTTTTATTTACACAGGCTTTGAAATATCTGTGTCTGAGATTACTGGCATCACCCCAGTAGGGCAGAGTTTAATAGAATTCTATTTGTGGCGTTCGCAGCTCTAAAATAATGGCTTTTAAAAAGTCAGCAGCAACAATGTCCAAATACTGCAGATCCTCCACAGAACACTCTGTCAGCAGTTTTCATAAGGTCTGTCTTTGCACTTAAGAACTGTTCACAGCAGCGTCTGTAGATTATCCAGGCCAATCAGGAGACATTTTCTGGGGAGACAAGTTGCAGATAGACTGGTTAGTGCTTGGCTACTTGTCACAGGAGTTAATTGATAATTGTCATTGTGTTATAGTACTTGGGACTCTTGGCCTTAATGGAGTATTCAGTTATTGTCTGTGTTAACTGCCCTGGATAGAGATCAGCTAACTGAGCCAATTGTTTGCCCTCAAACGACAGCTCTGTGCAAGTCAGATTTTTTCTTTAAAGGTTTCTGTGTGCCAAATGTTTAACCATTATTATCAAAATCCGCTCTATGCAAAGCAATTTCAGCATTTCAATTTTAACACAGCCGCTCTCGTGGTTTGTTGGACGTGTCTTCATCGTGCTGAGGAACCAGTGCCAAACAGCCCATACCCTTTATCCATCACTCTCCTTCGATTCAGTGACAGTAAGTTATGACTTCTCGTCTCAGCCAAAGAACGTGCGGAAGCAAATGCTGCCTCCTTCACGAGACAATCAACCAAGCGAGAGATGTCACCCCTGGCATACCCCTAATGCAAACGCTGGCGAGCAAATTGTGTTCAGTGCATTTAGTTGTAGACTCTCCTTGACGTTTTCTGAAGAAAAGTGTCTTGTGGTGTGTTTCTGCAGAGCAACAAACTTCTCCCCTACTAACTTAATCCCCTCTGTACACTTCCCTCCCTTCACACTTAAGCCTTCCTGACCATTTAAGTGGATTCTCTTTTTCTGAATGTTCACTTGGTTTGTTCAGAACATTGACCCAGAAGTAATGTTTGTAAGCAGGCTTGTATGACAGTGTTTTCCTTCTTTTTTAAGTGGGAGTCCAAACTGTCTACTCACCTTCAATATTTTCTATTTACTCAGACAGGTGGAAAAGCAGTGAGGCAGTAGAGAAGTTAAGACTGGATGCTAAAGGGATGTACATGATTGGAAAGCCTCAAATGTATTATTCAGTCGCTGTCTCTCACATTGAGGTGTAATGGGGGAACTCGTCATTGTTTGCATAATTATCTGCTGTGCTCAGTCTAATAATTGTTTTTTGGTCTGAAATTACATTCGCGATTTTAATGATTTTGGTTTGAAAAACAAAAATGACACTGTTGCAATAGATTTTTTCTTCTTTATTGCCTCGTCTTTTGAAACAATTTTGTGTCTATTACTCAGATGATTTGATCAGCACCCTGCTGTTATAAGTGTGCCTCTTTAAAAGTGATGATTGCAATTCTGTATTATATTTAATTTTGCTGTGTATCATCAACATGGGCTCCACTGCCTCTGGTTTGTCTTAACGAATCCAGCAAAGACACTCCAATTTAATCTCGGACATAAGATATAATTGCAAATTAGATTGTAGAGCATTAACTTGTCCAAAACATTATCAGGCTCAATTTATCATTTGCAAAAGGGAGATATGTAAAGCCAACATAAATCTGTTTCCGAGTATTTAAATTGTCAAAGAGCAATAGCTGTTTAGAGAGTGAACCCCAGTGGAGGAATTTGTGCAGCAGAATGTGAGTGCTGGGTCACTGATCAGAGGATTTAATCATAATAAATGATGCTGTGACTTACCCAGCTGAAGAAAAAGTATGTACTGAGGTGAGCTGTAGCAGATATGAATTTTGATTACATGTTCTGAACTCAGTCATTACAAAAGTATCACTTGTATTAGTTTTACCCATACAGCAGCACTGATGCTACTATATACATGGATGGTGTTGGAAAAACTTAGGTGAATAAACAAGGTATATAAAAAGATTTTTAGAATTGTGTGACAATAAGGATATTATTCGGGTAATGCTTACATACAGTACATAGATGTCATACATAGATAATGGTAATTAAAGTGTAAATGTCTAAATTGTCCTTACATTGTCACACAAGATTTTACTGTTCCACTGCTTCTAATTAACCGTGGTGAAGAAAAGTAAAGCTTTTAAGTTTTAAATTGACACAGTTTACATTTCCACACCTAGTTTTCACAGGAACATTAACTAAACCTTCTGAAATGATGCAATCAGTGCTGCAGTGTTAAGAAAATAAATGAGCTCTCTGGAAAGTACGTTTAAATGCTTTCTCTTTTTTTGAAAATCGTCTTAATCATCCCCCATCAGGAGGTCTAAGCTTCTTTTTTTGCTCCTCAGCTATCATAAGGTTTATTTGCAGAAAGGTTGCTGCATAGTCTTTATGCGGCTTAGTAGGAGTAGAGAGATGGCACACAATGATTTTCAGTGTTTTATCACCAATAGCAACAAAATCATCCGTGCTTCGAATTTCTCAGAAGTGCAGCCCAGCATCAACTACAGTTCTCATCCATGCATCTATCCTTCCTCTCATCTGTCCTCCCTTGTTAATTAGTAAGAGGGGGCTTAAAACTGCTTGCCAAGCCATTCCCCTTTTGTCCTCATCTGTTGCATGACTGAGTTGAAGGCCTTATTATTTCCTCACAAAGGCAGCCTGGTGAACGGACATTAACTCTGATTCAAACCAAATCCACTGCCATCCCAATTAGTGAGATTATAGCTGTCACGGTGCATGCCGAGCTGGGCCGCCTCACCTAACCGAAGGAGACTAACGAAGTACCGGCAGCTGCTGTGAGACACACGCACGCACACACGCACACGCCCGGGCAACAAATAAGTATGCATGCCTAATATGCACTTACAGAGACAAGCGTATGCAAGTAAATGCACAGCCAAGCAGGGAGACGCACAAACACTCACATGCAAGTGCGCTCTCTTACGGAAACAGACAAATATAAAGGTAGGAAGCATCACACACGTGCACACACACACTCATTGCTAACAGTCACGCACAATCTTCTCATCTCCAGCTGTGAGCCCCATGACCTGACAAATCCAGCTTGTGCACATGCGAGCCATGGAATGTGTGTTGAAGATATGAGCTAGGTGTTTGTGCAGTAAGGCTTTGTCAACAAGTTGAGTATTACTGCAGCTGTTTGCTGCTCTGTAGACAGAGAGCAGCAGACATACGGGGAATGATACACAGGGTGTGTGCACAGCTCGGAGAACAGGATCTCAAAGCCAATAAAGCACAGATACTCCACAAAGAGACAAGACATATGGAGCTGTATAGACAAGCACAGCACTAGATTAGATAACTCCACCTCTCTATGTATTTATATATCTGTCTGTCTGTCTGCACGTCTGCATGTCTGCATCGCTCTCTCTGTGATACTATCTTCTGAAGCCAAACATTAAGATTTTTTTTTTCTTTCCTCCACTGGTTTCATTTCTGTGATAGAACTGAAACAGCAGCAGATGAAGCGATGGTTGGTGTTATGTGTGTTATAAGATTTATCTTCCCTTCTGTCTAAGGATGTCCCCTGTGAATGCAAAACTAAAAAACACTTCACTCCCTGGACTCAATTCTAACTTACACACCACGCAGCTAAGCTTGCTGTTCATTACAACATCACATTTTCAGTAGGCATGGCACTTTCCTGACCCCATACCTGTCATCTCCCTCTCATTTCCTATGACTCGCATCCCATTTTTTATCACCCACTGAAGAGCGTCATGAGAGGAGAGTCAACAGGAGAAACAGCGTCATCTTCTTTTTTTTTCCGAGTTAATTCGTGGTTGTGCAAGACAGGTGGTGCATGACACCGAAAGTACTGTATGTTCCTCTACAGAACAAAAGACAGGGGAGATAATTCAGGATAATGGAAACGCATTCAGCTTCGGAGGTCAAACTGTATTCATCATTTCTCATAACCACAGCTGGTTGCCTTTTAATGCTGGTCCCGCTGCTTTTATGGACACAAAGCTCCTGATGTCAAGCAGTGAAAAGCATCAGTCCTTCAGGTTGTTGGCCTGGTGACAACTGCTCACTGGTGCATTGTGTGTTTTATAGTTGCTTCCCGGAGGATTCAAGGGAAGCACAGAGTCTAAGCCCTCTCTGTATTGTCTCTCTGCTTGACACACATGAACACTGTCTTGTAATTCTCTGCCACACCAACTTGTGAACACACACTTTGACAGTTATTGTGGATGCCATCTTTACTTTCTTGTTTTCACTGATCCATGTCTGGTTATCTCCCATCGCAGGCGACTCGGGGGGCACCTGTGGGGATCCTGGCACACCTGCCCACGCCAGCAGGGAGGCAGGGAACTTCAAAGTCCGCAGCAAGGTGCGCTTCACCTGCGCAGTGGGACACACACTGTACGGCTCTGCAGAGAGGATCTGCTTCCCCAACGGGACCTGGTCTGGCAGACAGCCGTTCTGCAAACGTAAGGGAAACCTTTAAAACGTCTCTGTCATGTTATGTATGAAACAGTAGGAGGCAAACTGATCGACACACACATACACATTGGTAGGTCACACAATTTTACAAGGGAATGTGTTCATACTTTTGGGCTGAGTGTCAAGCCTTGATAACTTTTTTTGCACCGAATGAAAAGAGCCTGATACTCAGACTTTAAAAACGTTTTACTGACGGCTTCCTAGAGTCTTATTTACTTATTCGTTGACAAGATATTTTCAATTGCAAACCTCATTTAGAAATAATTTCAGTTTATTTAGGCACAGTTTTGCTTTGTGTTAAAGTTGTACTTCATGAAGTAGACCTGATGATGTCATCTGTGCTATTAAAATTTTAAATCAGGACAAATTAGTCTTTGGAATAACATCTCTTCATCCACCAATGTTATAGAAGTAGTAGTAGAAGTACTCCGTTAAAAAATAATTGTACCTTAATTTTTATTTCTTTACTCCTCAAATGACATTACCAAAAGCGTGACTGTGCACACAGATCAGTCCCTCCAGTATTTCATGGGCTTTTGTCTGGATTATAGCAGCCTAAAAAGATTTCACTGCCACTTTTCTAAAAAATTTAAATGCGTGCTGCATAATTTTCAAGCTTTTATTCTGTGTGCTTCATTAATAATTTCTTAATTCTCCCACTCCACAGTAGCCTATCCTTTACAAGATATTTTAAATTATTTTCATCTCTCTGTCCTCTCTCACACACACATACTCTCCATCTCTGATTTCATTCCACATCCAACCTGACACTCCGAATAAAGCTTTCACGCCATGTTTAAATATTTTGAGAGATTTTATTCTTTTACATACAAGTTTTTGTCAAGCGATGACTTTCGTTTTTATGTTTGTTTTCCACCACAATGTTGCATGCACTGTGCACAAAACAATTTCATGCAGAACATCAGGGGATTGCATGGTCTTTAGAATATGTTTTTCTTGGTAAATATGAGATGTTACTGTCACACACGTCATCTGTGCGTAACAGCTACTTTGCTGAACTGCAGCTGGCAGGCATGTGTGTGTCCACACAGTTGCTGCTGGAACGCTGTCCCTGTCATGTTGAGTTAGTCGTGGTTAATGGTCATCAATGATAATAATTACCCATTTCCCTCGAGTGGTCAGAAAAGTGTTATAACCAGAAACAAGTTCATTTTGTTTACCCTCTTCAGAGTAGGAGAGAGAGAGCACAGACTAATTGACATTATATAATTTACATTGTCTCTTCTGTGACAATATATAAACTAAGTTTTGCATTTTGTCTGGATAACTCTCTTTAGAGCAAAGGGTGGTGGTAAAATATTTTTTTTTACATATCATAAAGATACAACAAATAAGTGTAGCCCACAAAATTTGCAGTGATGTATGACGGTGGCTCGGAACAGAGTCAAATCACAGCCTGAGTTTATTGTTTCAGTAGTCTGCTCCTGCCACTATGACTCTCACAGTTCACAGTGATCGTATCTATTTTCCTCTCAACTGTTGTGATCACAACATTGCAACATGCACGACTGATAGACAGGTGCTCATGTGTATCCACACCCACACACACACACGAATGGTTGCAAAAAGCTCAAACAGCATTGCACCAGATGGATACGTATCTTACTGCAGCAGTGTGGTATTTCCTGCAGCACATGGCACTGTGGTGAACAAAAATACATTAATTCTAGAGACCTTAAGCCAAGTTCCTTTTGGATTGTGATAAATGAATCATTGCGGATTTTGAAGATATTAGTTCACACAACACCAGCTCTCAATCTTGCATGAATTACCCTCAGGGGTCAACCAGATATTGAGGTGAATATTCGACTGCTTCTCTCCTCTACCTACTGTCAGCCAGCTTGGCACAGTACCAGTGTCATTCTTAATATGATGGGGCGATGCACTGGCCTTCTGAACTATCCTCTGTGTATACGTCTTTCATTTCATCACTCTTGTTCTTCCCACTTTTTTCTTTCTCGCTCTTTATCCTTCATTTCCCCTGAAGTCAACCTTTTTCTCTCCTGCTTCTCTCCTGATTTCTGTCTGTCTTAATCTTGTTGTCCGGCTGTTTTTCTATCCCTCTCCACTCCTCCCTCTGCCCCACATCTCTATGCTACCACCTTTTTATCTCTCCATCTCCCCACTGAACCCCTGATTTAAAGATTGTTTTAGCCATCCCTCCACCTCAAGAGGGTGGGGGCCCGAATTCACTGAAGCTTGAACGAGTTTCAACGCTGTCTGTCTGTGATCTAAAGCCCTGTCTAATGTTAAAGCCCATCCATCCGTTATCCACAACCTTTTACAGTCTCTGGAGAGCAGTCACTATGGATATTCAGCTTAATATCCATCTCACAATGCCATCAAGGTCTATTTTGTGTTTCTGCCATCAAGTCTGTCTTAAATTAGTACAAGAGGAAGCCAAAAAGGTGACCATACTTTATTTTTAGCAAGTCTGTACATGTCCTTGTGTGTGCATTTACAGTAATGTGAGCATGTCGGCACCTGGTGTGCGTGAGTGATGTTGTTGCACTGCAATAACTGTGTGTGTGCGCGTGTGTGTGTGTGTGTGTGTGTGTGCATGTGTGCGTGTGTGTGTGTAGTAATTGAGAAATTATCACTGCACCTACGACATGTCTGTTTCTGACAAGAATCACAACTTCAGATTTTCCAGGCAATTAGGTGATTGAACGAGCAAATTAGTTTCATAATGAGACATGATGATTTGGAGTAAACGAAAAGCACATGAAACACATTCTGTTCTCTCCCCTCTTCAGGGACACAATTTAGTTGACATATTCTGGAAAGGCTGTAAAGGATATCTCAGTGTAAAAGGCCCAAGCCCACAGTGCTCTGCAGAGAGACGACCCCCTCCCAGCCCACCGGCGACGGATTGGACATCTAAAGCAACACTTTGCATGAAATTCAGCCCCTGAGTCTGAGCTCGGCTTGTGCTTTAAACTGTAGGAAATAATAAATCATAATGTGCAGAGTCAGTTCAAATTATTGAGTGATTTTTTTACGATAAAATAATTGTCGATTTTGAGAATAAATCCGTAATATTCCAAGAATAAAGTTGTAAATTTGCAAGAAGAAAAAAATCTGATCGCTGGAGTTCCACTCCCTCTGGATCCGATATCTTAATTAACCTCATTGTAAAACTATGAGACCATTTTGAATATCACGCAGATGTAACTAATGACATACACTCAACGACTACTAAATACTTATTCCTCCACAAATGAGGCAACTGTCTTCAAGTATACCTGTGGTTCTTTCTTTGGAATAGAATGAAGTATGAAAGTCCTGATAATTATGACAATGTGGGGCCGATGTGCTGAAATATTTAGTATTACGTTATATGTTCAACTTGTGCTAAATTATAACTAGATATGATGTTTCATATTCCTTATTGTAATGCAGGGAACAGGCTGATCATCTGATATTCCCTTTGTTAAATGATTCGCCTAAAATTATCACTTATTTTTTATCGTTGTTTATCTAAATCTTTGAATATTTTTTTTCTTAAACCCTAATACTCATTCATAATTTTGCATCTGTTCATTAGAAAAAAAATTGAAAACGAAAAGAGTCTGGGAAATGTCACATTACTTCCATAATCATCTTTTTGTTCAGTCAGCACTAAATGTCATTACCATTGATCTACATGGAACTTCAGTCACCTCGTCAGTACACAAACTGCTCTTTATTTTCTGATGAGTCATCAACACACGGTGTAACGAGGCACTGCAGCCCCTTTGCACATAAGCATCTCTTAATAAAGCCGTGATGCTAAACCAATTAATGGGAACTCTGACACAAGGCAACAATTTCTCTCTGCCCTTTTCAAACTGATCCACCTGAGTGCTAATCTGACAAGAGACTACAGCACTGCAATTATTTCACAAATAAATATAACTATTCACATGTTAGGAATACATTTCCTAAAACTGTTTGACTTTCCAAAGTCATCTTGGTGCCGCCTCAGGGAGTCCCATCCCTCAGATTGTGAAACACTGATATGAAAAATAGAGAGTGCATTACTATTTTATACCTCTGACCTTCACCTCCTCTCTTTTCTCCTGTTTTGCAGCGGTGCACTGTGGGAACCCAGGTACCCCTGCTCATGGCCGTATTTCCCGCGTGGATGGCACAACCTTCTCCCACTCCATTGTGTATTCTTGTATGGAAGGCTATTTCCTCAGTGGGTCACCCACACGCCAGTGTCTGGCGAATGGCACGTGGTCTGGCACAGCTCCAAACTGCACAAGTGAGTTTTAAATGCACAGGAATATGAGATGAGATCAGAGTCGTCCCTCTTGGTCTTGTGGAATTCACTTAAAAGACCATTCTGCTTAACAGTGTTATGCAGAGTAAGAGAAAAGAAATGCATTGTCTACTCATGTCAAAGAAAAGTATCTCAGTGCCAATGCAGTGAGGTGCATTCATTGGACAATTATACCAGTGCTGTGAATAGAGAGTCACACAGAATAGCAACATTGGCAGTCACAGAATTTATCATTTACAGAAATAAACCAAAAAAACAAGTATAATAAAAAGACGAAGATGGGGATCTCCCATGGGTGAATCTAAAATAAAAATAGTCAAAATGTTATCTCAATAATGAGCCTCAACTGACGCGTGACACATGACCAAGCAAATCAGTCACATTAATTTGTTAGTACAGTAAATCAGCCATTGTTCTGTTCTCTATTATACCTTCTGAAAAAATTACCATATGTAATAATTTACACTGAAGTGCAGATAAACATCCATAAAAAGATTTATGTCAGGACAGGAATGAAGATGATTTTCCTCCCCATTTCTGCCAAAAGGAGGCGCTCTGAGTGATTAACGAAGGTGCTAAGAAAGGATATAAGATTGCATATAGAACATAAATCTCTACTGTCAGGTAGTTTTTCTTTTTTTTATTGTCTGGGGCTCAGCAAATGATCCTTGCAGTAATTAAGAAGTATGCCAATCTATACTCAGTTTGCACCAGAATGACTATCAAACAAAATTACACACATTGTTCTTCTCTCTGAAAATCATCACATTCTCTCTTCCTCGTTCTTGTTATTGAGTCAAAAGAAAAGATGAATAGCATTGGCATGATTTTCAATTTTGGAATGAAATGAGGCTCTGTGGAGATGCACACAGGGAGGGCGCAGGAGAGGAAGATTGAAAAGTGCATTGAAAAATAATGACCAAACATGCAGAAAGGTGGAATAGCTTCCTTGTCCCCTTTCCCCCCCTTGAAGCCAGCTTATCACCCAATTTATTATTGTTATTCTCCTGTATGCTATCACTTCACGTTAAATTTTAGTGGTCAGTTCAGGGACATCAACACTTACGATGCTAAAATTGGCTGAGTGTGCCTTCATTAAGGAGGCAATCATTTTCACGGTTCATGGGTAATCGATCATGTAGGTCACCAGATCAAAGTCGCTCAACATTCTCAAGGTGACACAGAAAAGTTCCTTTATTTTTATTTTAACAGGCTGATAAATGAACTTTATAGAGCAAGTTAAGGAATTAGGGAATCATCTGAAGAGCATTAGAGAGGAGACTTGTTCAGTGGAGTGTGAGGTAAAGTCATAAAGCACTTTATGAACTAAATAGTAAACACTGATTATTCATTTGGCTTATAAATGCCAAGATCCTGTTGGTTTTTATCTGCTGTTTATAGCATTCTCCACCTATCTCCTTCTTCCCTGAGTTTAAAGGCCAACACAGTAGAGTTGAATTATCCTTGTAGATCTGAGGATATAATTAAATGAAGACATCGGAGCAAAATGCTTATTAAAAGATTCAGTACTAAACAGGTTACTGTCACATTTCTGCAGCAACGTGATTCATGAGCATCGTTTAAATCACCAAAGCTCTATGTGCATACGTCTGATATTAGTCTCACTAGAAATGTAGCTGAAGTACGTACAGGTCTGTTTGCACACTACCGATCATGATCTCTGCTTTCAGTGTAAGTGCTTCAAAACAGGGGAACAGTAAGGGAAAAAGAAGATCTATCGGTTTTACTGGAAGCAGGTTATTGCAGTGTGTGTAAACTCCTCTGATTTCATGCCCTTACTACTTTCTCCCAGTAACCTGTTTTCTGTAGAGCCAGTTTATGTGCCAAATGAAAAAACTCTTCTCTTAACTTGAGTTGTTGAAGTCAACAGCCTTCAGCTTTTCTACACTGTGCTGACTGGCTGGGTTTTTCCACTTTTACTGATACAGACAGGCACTTGTAAACATTTGCATTGAACTACAGGCACACTTCTCCACATCCTGGCAAGATGTTTTCGGTTGAAAATTTTATCAGCTGTCTTTTATTCATGCCAGCTGCTTCTGGATATATGAGATATATCATGCTTAATTCAACATAATGTGTTTCAGTTTAATTTTGGTGGCTCTGATTCCAAAGGGGTTGAAGACTTACATTGCATCCAACACAAACACTAGTGTACAGTCAACAGAAATGCACATACACACCGTGCAAATACTTGGCTGCTGAGATCGCAGGACAGCTGCTGTTTCCCATCATCATCATTAATGGGTGAATCAACTTTATTTACATAGCAGTTTTCATACACAGAATGCATCCTAATGATAACTCTGGATGATTCCAACACTAAAAAACAAACGTAAAAAATTCTAACAAATTAAGGTAGTTTATCTCTCTTCACTTCAATACTCTGTTGTTTTTGCACCTATATGTCTACTTATTTAGAGTATTGGGGTTAGAATCAATCATTTATGAATATTTAGCATGAAACATATGCTAGACTTCTTAGTTCTGTGAATTCAACACATCATCATATTCCCTGCTTAACACTGGCATGTTGGGACTTTTGTAATTGGACATTAAATGTGTTGTCTTTGATAGCATGTTAGAGCGCTAACATTATCCTTCAAGTCTAAGCACTGACACTGCACTGCTTGTTTTTAATCAAATATATTCAGAAACCAATTTGGTGAATAGTAGAAGATTAGGCCCAGTGTACTTGTATTTTTTTCTTTAAAAAGTTTGAATCAAATATTTCACCCTGAGAAAAGTTTTCAAGACTCAATCATCCAACATGCAGGTGAAAAGAAAACTTGCAGACTTGTAAAGAATGAAAATACTTCCCAGAAGAACATTACCTCCCAGTTGGGCAACAGTACATATGGAGAAGTGGAAATAAAAGTCATAGAGTCCCACATCATGAATTATTCTATAACACTGTTGTGAACTCATATATATAATAGCAGAAACTGGGTTCAGGAACCTCTGCACATGATATGATGTGGAAATCATTTAAATTAAAAGAAAACAAAGAAAGAACATCAAGGCTACAGACTTAGCCTTGGATTTCACCACATTGTCTGCAGGGTGCGCTCTCATCTGTCTCTGTTTCTTACTTGTCTGTGTTTTCTGTCTGTAGTGTGTAATGTGTGTTTTTTAAGAATAGATGCATCTTGCAGGATTAGATTTATCATTGGAACAAGCATGAACATACTGCCAGAGCACCCAGCATGTTGTCTTGTTGCTGAGAATTAGCAGCTCTCATACGTGTTTTGTCAGGCTACATAGTTAGTTTCACCCAGCGATGATGAATGTGCCAAAGTGTCGAGGTCCTGGCGGCAAATGAAAATAAACAAACAGATATTAATTTAAGAGAGGAGGCCTTTGCAGGAGCAGCTATATGCATCAAACTGGTTTCTTACATTAAGGTGAACAAGTCAGGGAAGGTTTTATAATTAGTAGTCACAAATTAATACTAAAAGATGAAACAAAGGCTATGAAAATGCAATCAAATGGAGTCTGGCAACCTAAATATTCTTCAGAGATAGCACTAGGTTAGGACCTGACATCGTAGTATGGCCAATATTCAGTCCTCTGTCTACTCTGGAGAAATCCTGCCACGAGACGAAATTAGGAATAAGCAGAAGAGAGGGATTTCAAAAGGGAATATGTGTTGTGGTCACTATGCATTGATTGTTTAGTATTGTTTGACATTACTGTTTTAAATATGTAAAAAAAAAGCTTAGTTATTACTATTAGTATTACTATGACATTACAGCCGTTCCTCACACTGTCAGGGGCATAGTACAGCAGATGCTTTGTGATTATGCTTTGAGTGCTCAGTCAAAGGCTAATATGGTAACAGCTGTATCTTCAACTTCTCTGGATATTTCTTATCTTCACATAACTGAGCACCATGCCCTGCATGCTTAATGCTGCACACAAGCTCAGAGCCATTACACAAGATGAGCCATTGTGGTTATCTTGATTAAATTATCCACAAGCAGCACCAGGTTGCTGCGACATAACCCCACAAACATTTGTGACGCACAGTTTTTTTTGTATGGAGATTTCAGGTGTTTTTTTTAAAGGTGCAGATATTATCCCCACATTGTGTTATATTTATTTTAGTTTCTCACTTTAACAAATGTTCCTTTTTCCCCAAATAGAACTCTCTTATGTAGAAACCTCTCTGATTCACATGGTGGAATCTTTTGCTCTACAATCATTGTTACAGTTAGAGAGAACCCACTGCTTTTCTGATGTGCTACACTTCTTTTCAATTGGCCAAATTGTCGCCAATATTTGGCTCCAAATATTTTAGAGATCCACTATGATTAAATATTTATTTTTTGTAGCCTGAATCCTCAATTTGAACTCAATCAGACATACAGAATGAAGTCACCTTGTCGAAAATCCAATTTAATGTTGTAAAGCTTGATTTTTAAGTTCTTTTTTTTTTTTTACTGTGGAACTGCCACTTTAACGTATGTGTGAGAGATTGTAGAGATGGCTAATACTCTCATGTTTACAACTTGAACCTTCTTGTTGTAGGATTTAAAAATACAGCTGTATGATTACAGAGTTGTTTGAGTGACAGCTTAAAATACTAGGCATCAACAAATTCACATCTTGAACCATGGACTCTGGCTGAGATCATCTGTGTTTGGTTTTCAGGCACTTGTGTATTACGTTGTGAAAAGTCTGATACATTGTGGCTTTTGAAAAGTCACCTCCTCTGTTGTAATTACAATTTTGACATTGACGATGGCCCCGCACACACCTAGTATTAACATTCGTCCTCAGAGATCCGATCACAAGTGCCTGTGTTAAGTAAGTGTGTTCACACCTGGCATTAAAATGTGTTTCCTGTGACCACCTGTGATCAGATCTCAGTGTGTGTGCGTGTGTCTCGGCATGAGCGAGTGAAAGGGAGGTAGAGAGACGAGTCAGGAGAGTCTGAATGAATCGATCATTAGAAGGTCCTTCATATGTGGCCAAGGACGGATTTGTGTTCACACTGCTAAAAGGATACGGACACATGTGGCCCAGACCACCTCTGAATGTGATCTGAGCCACAGCATGTGATCAGAGCAAAAACCACATGTTAATACCAGGTGTGCACGGGGCCGTAAATGCTATGTCATGACTTACATGTTGGAGAGCAGCATTAACCTGGTTACCAAGCTCAGTTGAGTGAACACCACTGACTGAAATACACAAACCTTCAATGTTTAATTCATTTCTTTTAGCTTTAATTTAATAACTTTATCTTGTACAACAGTAGCTTGTAGTGGTTGAATACTAGTGAAATATTATGGGTCAAGGCCAACGTTTCCATTTTGCGCAACTATATTTAGCTCAACTGTATTAAAACATTTGATTGTTAAGGCCGAGAGGATAATTATGTATCAACATGAGCTCTACCTACTCTTTTTGCCTGAAGAATTAGAGTTAAAAACAATAAGTGGCCTGATGACATAAGGTAATAAATGGAGAATTAGGAAACCACCAGCAAAAGATAAAAATGGAAAATCTTGGGGACAAAGCAGGAGCTCCCCTGTGGTCACATCATAAACCCTCAGCACTCTTTCTTCAAGATGCATAATGAATAATTAATCAAACACTGTGTCGTGATAAACTGATACATTTTTCATGCACAGTATATTTTACATTGCAATTTAAATCACCACCCAATGTCCGAATGTGGATCTTGTCTAATTCAAGTTCTTTTTGTGTGGTCATCAATGACAGTGATCACATGTGGCGACCCTGGTATTCCAGCGAACGGACTCAGGTTTGGTGACGACATCACCGTGGGCCAGAATGTGACGTTCGTGTGTCAGCCGGGATTCGTGATGATCGAAGGGGACAGCACTGTCACAAGGACCTGCACCAACAATGGCACCTGGAGTGGCACCATGCCAGCATGCAAAGGTAAGAACCCCACACAAATGTAACCCCCCACGTACACTGAGCATACACATGCTGCAGTCAGTCAACCTTGATAACCATCAGAACGGGCTGTCTTAACCTTGGCGTGCTAGCACTGTCACATACAATACAGTACATGCTTACACCCAGAGATCTAATGAGATTAGCAAGCAAGGTGACACAGGACTCCCTATGTGGTCAGATAGTGTCATATTGTTCACTTCAGTCTGCTGATAACGGAAGTCGCGACGATAAATTATACTGGATGTCTGTGAGACTCATGTGCATATTCTGTACAGGTGCAGGCATACTCACAGACACTTTTAAAAATGGTATCCACTGCTTCCCTACATTACACAAGGAGAACTATACTTCAACAGGTCCTTGATACGAGACAGTGATTTCACAAACACCTACATCTCAAGTTGCACCTGTGGTGGCACGGAGCCAAGGCTAAAAGTTCCCCTGACACCTGATGATGGATAGATAACAAGCCCTCTTCATCACAACAAGGATCCTTCTAATTGTGCACCAACAGTTAATCATCAGCTGCCTCCCTCTGTAAAAGTTTGTGCGCCCTCTATGGGCTTGATTAACATCAAAGTTAGAAAATCCACCAAGAGGACTGAGCCGTTGTACGCCCATCAGCAATACATCACTCAATGATTTATGACGCTCGAGTGGAGGCAGAGATTAGCATGTCTGCCGTCGACACCCAAAAGTGAGTATTGCAGGGAAGATTAACTTGTGCAGTGAACAGTTCAAAAGTACACCGGGAAAACGGAAAAGCCCACGAGGCAAACAGTGGCTCATTGTTGCTTAGGAACTGTTCCCAGGCTGCCGTCTCAGTTACAGCGTACCGAGCTGGCGTTCGGATTCGCCTCTAGAGAATTGGGAAAGGACAAATGAAATGTGAGAGAAAAAGAGGTGTGAGAGACATGCAGGCAGACAAATGTCGCAGGTTGGAGAAAAATACACATAGAAGTAATTGAAAGCCAAAGAAAATAAGCAAAATCAAGCACGTGGACAAATTCTGAGGTAGAGGGAACGAATATCATGAAACAACACAGAGCCTGACGATCTATTTCACCTCCTGTTTTTTTTGTGTCTAGATATTCTCAGTGTACACGATGCTGTTATGTTTCTGTGCCACTGCCATTCCTCACCTGGGAGCTGCAGGTTGACACCTTACACTTTCTACCCTCCGCGGGCTCCCTGCATGACCTCGCCTAGACGTTTACAACATCCGAACTGACACTGATTTGTAATATTTCATGGCTGTGTTTCATTATTAACGCGTCCTGTTCTGTGGTGTGTTGGAGCTGTTGGAGGAATTACTGGTCGCACAACTGTTACCCAAGGTACTTTAAGTGAACTGAGAGAGCGAGGGTGTATGTGTGCTCACATGTATGTATAAAAGAGTGTGTAGCTCCTAATCTCCGAGCTCTAACCCTTGACAGATACTGCAGCAGCTCAGGCGCTCAGCCTCACTGCAGCTATGCTTGATGACGATGGTGTGGTGAAGTGAAACCCTAGAGCTTAACCTTCCTCATAACACACTCACACACCACCGTGCATGCGTACAGTCACTTTGGGGCATTCAATTACACAACTGTCTCTCTCATGCATACATACACACACCTTCACACTGTGCCCACCACCACTGCTGCTGCTGCTGAGTGCTGTCAGCCTGTACTGACCTGTATGCAGTAGTCAGCGAGCCAGAGGGTCCCTCCTGCCTCCTCTCACTCTCTCTCCGCTGCTCTCATCTCATTTTCTCATTTTGGTAAACAAATTTAAAAAAGGCAAGAGAAGAGATGATTACTAAGCGGTTGCTCTATATTAATTTTGCCACTCCTTAGTGTGCGGATGGGTTATTAAAGAGGAATGCACTCTGTATGTGTTATGGTTTATTTTCTCCCTGTCCCCGCTGCTCCACTCCCTCGGTCTCTTTCTAAGACTATCTGGGACAAGCAACAGAGCAGCTTGCTGGTAATCATAGCTTTTTCATCATGTCTCTCACTGACAGCCTACACAGCAAGAGGTCTCCAAAAAGGGCTGCGAAAATATCTATTTTCTTGCAAGTGAAAACAATGCCTCATCCAATAAGATGTGTTGCCTTTTTCTCTTTCATAATTGGGTTTAAGTTGAAGGTGCAGCGATTCAGGCAGGGTGAGCTATTTGTAATTGTCATGATGCGGGACATCTGTCATCTTGTGATAGATTTAGACGATGTGCCGCTGGGATATGAGCAGATATTCCAGGAGGGTGGGTAAAAGACGGGGATAAGGAAGCTAGAGATGGAAAGGCAGAGAGAGTATTTGAGACCAAGACAGAGAAAGGTTTTACATGTGCTGAATGTGCATAATTTTGCACTTAATGCGTGTAAATCAGTGCTAGCTGCAGCATTTGTGTGTGGTGCTGCTGATGACACATCATAAGCCTTGCCCGGCAAGGATTGAGTTTGAATCCTGGGTTTGGCGTGTTCAGCTAAGAGCTGCTAATGCTTCTTAGAACTACTTAGGAAAATGGGGACACTCTCTGCTTCCAATTTAGTTCTGCCTGCCACTCACTCCTTTTTTATAATTATTATTTTTGCTCCCTCTTTTTTTTTTTTTTGTGATTTCTGATGCTGTCTTTTTACTGTGCTTACTCACACATTGTCCCTCCATCTGTTTCTCTCACCGAGACATATTTCATTAAGAGACACTCAAACCAACTTTCGACTTTACAGCATCCAACTTGGCATTTTAGTAAGGTATTTCAGAATGAAGTATTTTTTTCTAGAGCTCCCATGCAACAACATGGAAATCCCAAATCCCAATAGTCACTCTTTACAAATTCATTAACATCAAAAAGAAACAATTTCAAGTGAACTTGTTTCTCCTTGAGAACTTTATAAACAGAATTACATTACTAAACAAAACATTAAAAAACTGATTGTAACATCGGTCTGGTTTTGCTTATTACTTTTATTCACATTCATTGCAGCCTATACATCTCTTTATATACAGTATAGCATACTCTTAAAGCATATGCAAACTGTATAATGCTGCAAAACCTCTATATGGAAATCTTTGTGCATCTGCTGCCAACCAAGAACAAAAGACTGTTTCCCGTTGAGGAAAAAATGTGAATATCCCTCAGTGGCCTGCTCCACATTGACTATAATTTCTTCCTGCCTAGAAAAAAAACATTAACTAAAATGTATGTGCCAAGAAAGTTGTTGATCTTTTGCCTAGGATATACTCAGACTAAATTAAACTGGTAATTTCAAGTGTACCAATTTTCAAATCTGCAATATTTTCAAAAGGCTTTTTTGCAGCTGGTCAGGAGCCTATGCTCTGTGAATTGTCCAGGTAGAACTGAAATCCAGTTTGTAAGAAGGGCAGAATCTATAAGCCAGCCAGTGCATGCTTTTCCAGACATTTTGTTTTTTTAGATTTTTAGATGCAATGTATAAATGATGTCTAAATTTGGTTAGTGGTGCCTGTGTGGGTTTCCTACTGGTACTTTAACTTCCTCACATAGCCCAAAGACATGCAGAGTTGGGTTTAGGTTAATTGAAGACTCTAAATGGATCGAGATGTGTATGAGAGTTTGAATGTAGATTTATATATATATATATGTTCATTCCATTTCCATATATTTTGATTCCATTCCATTTAAGGACAGATTTAAACCCGAAACCATCTTTGAAACCTGGCCACTAAATAAACTATATAAAGTGAACTGACTGAAGATGAAGCAACCACTTAACTACTCAGAACTATTCAGTCATTAATTGTATGCTGGTTTTCTTTCCTGCCAAAGAAAACGGCAGTGAGTTAATTCATCTCCAGGAACTAATAACAAACCAATGAAAGTGAGATGACCTGCTGTAGTCTTTATTGAGCCTTAAAGTCAGCATGATGACTTCTGGCATGCAGTATATGCCAAGTTGCTTCAATGTAGTGTTTGTGCTAGAAGAGGTCACTGTGCATGGAGTTAGGCTTGAAGCAAATCCAGGCTGGTGGGAGGAAGACAGTCGAAGAAATGTCCAGTGGTCCGGTAATTTCCTGTCTGCCTGAGCTCAGTCTGTGTGCTTATAATGATGAGTTTGTCTCTGTTCATGGTCCTTTCTCAAAGATTCCCATAAAGCCAGTCTTCACACTGCAGCCTGTATATTTTGTAAGTGAAAATGATGATGTTGTTGTGCTGCCAGAAGAATAAACCTTAACTTGTGAACTAGTTGTTAACATGACAGTTTAAGTAACTGGATTCGTAAAGTAAACGTCTGATCTTGCCAGACAGTTGCAAGGCGGTTGCAAGCCATGACATCAATTTGCAGATCTTTGGTGAAGTGTATTGGATTGCTTGAGAATGTCTAAAAGAGAAAAGAGACTCGGGGAAGTGATGGGTTGGGGGAAGGATAGTAATGGCATAAAACAACTACTGATTTATTTACATCCCTAAAACCCATATCCCATCTGTGTCCCCACAGGTTCATCTCCAAGTGTTTCAGAACAAACTCCGAGCTTTATTATTCATTCATTCATTGCATTTGTTGAGTAGGAAGTTGATGGCTTACACACACATAAGATGTCCCCTCATTTCTCACTGAAATGATTTAGTACGCTCCACATACAAACGGCAGACAGATTGCACACAGTCAAAGCACAGACTGTCTCTCTGAGCTTAAGAGATTTCACTCAATATCATTGCACAAAAAACAACATGCAACGACGATAAAAAAATGTCAAACATTTTGTTTTGACAAAGCTAAATAGTTTAGCTGTGTCTAAATGGAGGCAGTGCTGTGGTGCTCTGGGACACTAAAAGATGTGATCAATCTGGTTAGAAGATGTTTATTGGATTAAACACAGGTTTACTTCCATGTTTAATACATTTTAACACCACTACTCCCTCTTCTATTAAATCTCTGATTAGAAATGTAAAAAGCCCAGGATGTAGTCACCAGAAACCCACCTAAATCTTAATGATTGTCTGCAAACTTTAACATTGTCTTTTATCCTTGAGTTATATGCAACCGCTGATGTGGTTACGTTGTATCTAGAAGGAAGAAAATAATGTTTGTGTCCATGGCCATAGAACCAAATATTCTCAAGCTTCTTTCTTTTGTGCCTCAGACATGTCTTGGTTCTAAAGAGACCGTTTTCACATCACAAATAGTACAAGCATTTTTGTTGGGACTGAAAGAGACGGACACTGATATAGATTCCACTGCTCCATTTTCTTCATGCTATCTGTAGAGCCACCGCCTGCTGCAGAGGAGAACAACACGTGGTTTGATGTAACATTAGAAAAGCCTGACTGGTGTCAGTCCATTGACACCTTGAATTATAGTTGAAATGTTTATTTAAAATGTCTTGTGACTGACAGACTTGTTTCTTTTGTAGCATACGTTCACTTGGACTCAGAGAACAACTAGATTTTTGTGGTTGGAGGTCAAAGGTCAAGGTCACTGTGACCTCACAAACTTATTTTCCCTTGTGAATGTGTTATCTTAAGAACGTCTCAATAGATGTCACAAACTTAGACTCACAGATTGATTGATGACATTTCGGTGATCAAAGGTCAAGGTCACAGGGGCCTTACAACACATGTTGGCAGAGACATACAACTGCAGCATGGCATTTCTAGGTAGCTACATTTTTTGAATTTGTACATTTGTTTCATATCTTCCTTCAACAATGGCAAGCTTTGCTCTCACCTTTGTCCTGATCTCAGCCTCACAACCCAAACAATCTGGTTTCAACTTGAACTTGACTGGATCTATTTTGTACTGCACACTGATGAGCTTGTCCTAACTGTGTCCTCATTATCCCCACAGTGGTGACATGTCCTACACCCCCAGCCATTCCAAACGGTCTTCTGGAAGGCTCAGTGCTCGAGTGGGGAACCAGCGTGAGCTACAGCTGCCTTCCTGGCTACGAGCTGTCCTTTCCCGCCGTGCTCACCTGCGCAGGCAACGGGACCTGGACTGGAGACCTGCCTCAGTGCTTGCGTGAGTCACCATTTACTGAAGGAAGAATGACTTTGACCTTCTGCAGGTGGCATCATTTCTCATTGGTTCTATCCACAGAGCCCCTCCAGGTGATCAATGAGAAATGAGCTCCAGAGAGTCAGTCTCACTCTTACTTCTACACATCACCGTGCACTTTAAAATCCTCCTTAGTGCACGTGTCTTCACAGTATCATCAATTATGCTCAATACCAAGAGAATCTCACCACATCTCAAACTGTGAAGTAGAACTTAATCAAAATTGTGTAAATTAGTCATATTTATTCTTTGTACCAACACTTCAAACATGAGTTTTACATTATAATAAGATTATTATGTCACAGGAGTTATAGCTTGCTAGGTTTGTAAGTCATATCAACAAAATGTATGGTTAGAAGGAGAAAAACATATTTTATAACTTCTGATCTTATCAAATGAGGCTGTTCTCTTTTTGTGGCGTTGCAGCAATTTTCAAGGGGAGGTTGCCTTGTGTTTGAAATGGTCTGTCACTATTGTGCCACCATCTAAAACATGGTCATCAGCACAGTTACAGAAATAGTATTTTCTATTTTTTGCGATATCCTGCGGCTTGCATCATTAAGAAGAACATGATTCCACCAGAGATATAATAATCCAGTCAGGAAAAGTCATAACATTGTACAATTTTCTTTGGAGGAGTCATGAAATAACAGGTAATTTGTCAAAGATCTTTAATGGGGATATACCTGCAATTTATTTCACAACTTGTCTCATACATTCATTCATTACCTTACATTAGTTTGAAGTTGTTTCCTCCAAGGCGAGCCCTCTTACACCACTTGCCCCCTTAGAGGTTATCTCAAGTTAATGAAATTAATGAAATTCATGAATAAGTCATGGAATTTAACATCGGGGCTAAGGTGGAATACTGATTTACGATACAAATAAAATAAAGCAGTCCTGCAGAGAGGCAGAACAGTGATTATTAATGCTGCTCACTGCATTTTTATTTTGTTCTTGTCACAAAATGACATTTTCCCCAAAAATGATATACAAAAAATCTTAAGTCTGAAAAGGGTATTGCATCTTACTTGTTCATAAAGACCACAAGTCTCATCATTATTTCATCAATCAAAGCTGCAATTTACATTTTGATAAAATAAAAAGGGAATTGAACCTTTGGTGCCGTGGTCAGTGTTTCTACAGTGTTGCTGATGAACATGATGATGTGAGCGGAGTCACGTTTGGGGAAATAATGATAGTAATTTAAAGGGTTTTACTCAAAAACACTTTATGTGAATAAAATGATCATAGAAAACATTAAGACCCTCTCAGGACCATCTTTCCAAGCATAATAATAACCCCTGGGATGCATGAGAGCTCAAGGGCATCACTGTCTTCAAAATCATTCTTAAATTATATCAGCCTCATAGAAATAAAATATCAAGAGGGGCAAAGTACTTGCATGTGTTTGTGTCTCTCTAAACGTTAGCGGGGACTGAAAAACAAATAGCACTAAAAATATTCATGTACAACTCTCCAAATGCTGAAAGATGTGTCGTTCTGTTCCTGTCTGCTGTGATGCATTTATAGCATCTGCTCTAAAACTAGTGGATGCAGGCAGTCCTTTTGCTTCCTGTTGAAGTGCTCCATTTTGCATCACACTAACTGATTATTGCAGGATTTTCTGCTATCAGAAATGGATTTCATTGTTTGGGGGAATTCACTGTGCACATACTATCTTCACTGAGTTGATCGCTGACTTGAGATATAGGTTTATGAATTGAGGTAAAATGAGGTGGTTTGTTGTTTTTCAGTGCCACATGTTGAACCACATTTTAAAAGTAAAAACAACCACATTCACTCGTGTGCTCTTTTGTAATCGATGCTAATGACAGCATTTGGTGTTTGTAGCCATTTTCTAGCAGCCATTTGTTCTTCTGAATGGCCACATTGTCACTTATTGTAACTGGTGTACGTCAGTGTGCACAATGCTGTCTGATTCATATCCTGCTTAAATGTAAAGGATCATATCTGTTGGCTATGAGCACAAATGTGCTTTAGCACTGTCAAGTGACCAACTGCCTATTGTCGTTGTGGTGCATGTGTATCTGTATTCTGGCCCTGAGTTGTTGTGGTGGCTAAAAAAAACCCATCATGTTGACATAAACTTCTACTCTGTAAATCATATATACTTTGTACAGCAGTTCTGATGGCCAGTGTCATCCGTCAACACATTACAATCATTGTTCCACATCAGCAACCCCAAATCAACCTCCTGTGGCTTTGCGAGCGAGTAACCTTTATGTTCCATGATGTAACATAGTGGTGTTTATTGTGTCTCAGTGGAGAACTGTTTGTGATGCAGTAATTATATTTAATAGCTCCATTACTTACGACCCAGAATGCAGGTTCCAATGTTGGTGCAAAACTGACATAAACTCATAGCCGTACCTCAAACTGTTTGATCAATAACTAACTACTGTGAAGAACCTGGCTCTCCTAAAGATGTGGTTATAGCTGCAGACTCGTACTACAGTACTTCAAGTGGGAGCTAGTCTGTTATAAATCACTGAAATTAACAATGGGGAAGAAAAAGCTGATCATATTAGGTTATAAAGCAAATAGGATTATCTGTGTGTTAGAATACCAGCACACAGCACTACCTACAGCAGGGTCAGGCTCAACACTACCATCTTTAAATCACTGCGTTATTAAGATGTAGATCCTTAGTGTTCATTTTCTCAATGTTACTATGGAGTTTACCATAGTGTAGATACTTTGCAGTATTTTAATTATACATATAATTGTCGTGGAACAGGTGTAAATGCACTGAGGCCAATAATGGTTTTAAATCCATGCAACTATAAAAATATTCTCCAAACATGAGTCAATACACTGCTTTGTCTTTTCTTGACTGAGGTTATTTTGCATTCACCAAAATAAATTATAAGCTCAGCGGGAGGGATAATCAGATTCTTTGTGCCAATGTCATACACATTTGCTGCAAATGAAACCTGATGAGTTTATTTAATTTAATTTGGTGCAGAATAATTTTACAGCCAGAGTCCTGCTGTTTTTTTTTCTAAAAATATATATAGTAGGGCACTGTATATTTTAGAGAGATTACTATTCATACTCAGCACTTTTAGTTTAAATACAGCTCAGCAATATTGGAGGAGATGCCATGCATCTGCAAAAGCAAATCCTTCTCTGCATTTCTTAAAATCTCCATTGTAAGCTTGTGCAGCCAAACAGGATTAAGACACATATTCACGTTCTGTATAACAACACATGGGAAAAAAGGGAGCAAGCAGCAAATTTGACTATCTGAGAATGCTAGTTCATGTGTCTGTAGGGATGAGACTGTGATCCCAACTTTGAATCAGGCCTCTGCATACTGATTACTTCAAAGCATTGATAATTCATCAAGGAAGGAGAGAGGCAATGGGAGAGAGAGAGAGAGAGAAAAAGTTTTGACTAGTCTCTCTCTTTCTCTGTCTCTTGCTAATCCACATACACACAACACACAAGCACATCAAATATGCTGAGCTTGGTTTGGCCTGGGGCCATTTCTCTTATATATCCATAAAACAGAACATTATTTCCCTGCGGCTTGAAGTTTGTGACTGATGTGCATGTCACCTGTTTGGCCTGTATTATCAACCATCCTAAAAAATGTTGTTCGAATACTAAGTATTACAATGCCATTTGACAAGAATCGTTTTCAGATCCGGACATCCAGACATTTGTATCTGTATTTGTTGTCACAACAGATTCGGTCAAACTGTTGGAGACTGGGTGGTCGAAACTCACAATGCATCGTTTTCAGAGGTATAGGCAAACATATTTTCTAGGAAAGGATATGTCTCTGAATAAAAGGATTTGTTTCTGAGATAACAGTATTTGCTGTAATGGCTTTATACAGCCATTCTTGCATGGGCTGGATTCTAATCTACTCCCTCACTGGATATCTATTATGTCAGGGATTGGCTGTGGGAAGCCCCTGTTGGTTCTTTCGTTTTGGAAGAGAGCAAGCAAGAACTTATCTCTGTCTCCAGACCTCCACACAGCAGCACATGTCAGGTCTGGAGAAGCAGCCTGCCTTATTATTGGCTTGATCCCGCAGTGCTCCGGCTGCGTGACTGAACGCTGTGACTCTTGTCCTTGCTTCTGCTCTCTCACACACTGAGTGATTCTGAGCCACCTACAGCTAACAAGTAACTTTACTCATCAGTATGCTTATAGAATGTTAGTGAATTTATATATACAGTAAAGATGAATAGGAAGATACATTGGCAGGCTGTAAAACGAATGCCTCCCCCCATCAATCCTACTCAGCCTAAATTATTCCAGGCAACTTGATTAGATGTCTATAAGCAATAAATTGAATGAGCAGCAGCACTAATCCAAAGGCTTCATCTGCTAGGGCTGTGGCTGGAGTGCCATCAAATAGGCAATATCATACTAGAGGCATGGAGAGCAGCAGCGGTGGCAGATGGCTCCAGTTGTGTTAACCTTAAGGCCCTGTCAGAAAAATTAATATTTCATTTGTTAATTATTTTTGATCCAAAATTGAGTGCCATAACCTCCCTCTCTACCTCTTGCTGCCAAAATGAATATCCTCATATCTCCTATAACCACTCAGCAGAAAGGGTGATGTTGGAAACTGAAAATGATCAGACGGAGGGATTTTGCTGAGGGAAGAATGTCAATGCATCTGCCCACATGCAATAAAAAAAGCCAAAGGAATTTGAGCAACGAGCATTATGTCAATGCAATTGAATAGTTCAGTCCACGGAGACATTAAAATCATGTAGAAAGTTTTTGCAGGTATTGAAATAAATTTGACATAATAAAAAACCCATAAAAAAAAAACCAAAGCAGTGGAAAACATTGAAGGCTCTCCTCATCACAGTCTGATCATATGGGCACAGCAGCAGCCCACACAACTTATTATTTCTAAATAGAATTCTGAATAGTCTAGTGAACACTGCACTCAGTTGAGTAGCTTCAGTGGCATTCCTTATGCACAGATTCATGTTTGAAAATGGGGCAGATCAAGTGTTCATCCACATTGACACGAATTGAAGGAGCTGTGCAAAAATGCAGAGTGATACAGTGCTGCATTATTTCTTCTTTCTGAAAATGTGTAACATGTGATGGATCTGTTGACCCACATCAGCAATGCCGCACATTTCTATCTCTGCAGCAAAGTTCTGTGGAGACCCCGGTATGCCTGCCAAGGGACGGAGAGAAGGCCGCAGTTTCATCTTCAAGTCAGAGGTGACGTTTAGCTGCGGCGCCCCCTATGTGCTGGTCGGATCAGCGACACGCATGTGTCAGGAGGACGGCACTTGGAGCGGATCTCAGCCTCGGTGTATAGGTATTGAACATTAGCCTTACATGCAAGAGTAGGCATTTAGATTTGTAGAGCAAAATAAGAAAGTTAGTGAAATGAAGAAATGTAAATGTCTGCCAGGTAGCAAAGTGAATTTATAGTTTGACAGATCTTCCAAATCATTTCTCTGTCGGTTCTGTTGAAGCGGCTAACAGAAATATCAAAACAAAGTTGAAGGTGAACTCGTATCCCAGCGATACCATCTGGCACTGATGTAAAACTAAATTACTTAAATGAAATATATTATTTATAGTGGTACTTTATAGATGTTGTTTTATATTTGCTGCTCAGTGCGGCTGGAAATGTTAACTGCTGAAGAAACATTTTTTCACATGGTTGTGCTTTAATTTGAATTTAGTCTCACCGACTGTTAGCATTCTCAGAAGTGCATATGACTTCATTTCTAAGACATCAATGGTCAAAGACTCTGGAGGGTGCAAGGATATTCTGCCCATGTTGCCACGCCACTTCAGTAATTGTCCTCTGGTACATAATACACCAGAGGGAAATTGCTCAGTCATTATCAATGATTGCCCTTCTGTCATATTCTCATTTTTACTCTCCTGCAATCCCTGTGCTTATCATAACTGTGATTTCTTGTTCCAGAGCCCACGAGAACCACGTGTGAAAATCCAGGGACACCTGAGCATGGCTTCATGAATTACACAACAGGCTTTAAGGTAAAAAGAGCCAAAAACCTGAAATGGATTCAATTCATACAAGTGTTGCATAAAATGTCTACTCAAGCTCTGAGGGGCATTTGTCCCAGAAAATGTTTTTCTAATACATATGAAAAAATACATTCCTAGATAAAGGAATCTTAAGGTTGCCTGAATAATATACAAAGGTGATTACAGTATTTTGACATACTATTAAAAATGCATCCAAGACGTGGTACAAGTACAACGCAACCTTAAAAATCTAAGCCTGTCAAAGAAGGATTCACTGAAGTATAGGTAGTACAAATAAACACATACCACAGTGTATTTAACAGGCATTAAAAATATATGTCAAGTACTAAACTAACACAAAATATATAATATATGGACCACATTAAATATACTGTGATATACTTTACTAAGTTAAATTATAATAATACATTAATAAAAGCATAATATTATTAATTATAATTTATATAAAAATCAATTCAAAGCAAATATCTAAGTGGAGTAGCCTGGCTGCTGTACCTGAGAGGTGGAGGTAGATGAGTGTAAACAAGACGCACCAAATCAAAGTACTATTCGAAGCTCACAGCTGTACCATGTTACCTGCACTTATGCTGCGTTCCAGTCAACTCGCATTTGGAATTTTCTGACCTCCTACATGTTAAAGTGCAATGGAAAAGCACTCAAAGTCAGAGTTCGCACTTGTGAACCCCCTCTGTTGGACTCTTGTTCCCTCGTTTGTGAGAGTGAGTGACAGTGCTTGTGCGCTTGTTCTCTCCCTCTTATGTATTGGAATGTGTTTCCAAGTATAAAATTGCCATAAAATAAAATGTAAAATTGCGTCTGTTGCATCATGCATCGTTTTCCCTCCTCTGCTTTCTTTATGTATGAACTGAGGCTGCACTGGTCACAGTTGAATTATCTCATCATGAGCCAGTTTGTTTACATTTGACGTTGTGCCATCACCGTGCATTGGAATGCTTGGAAGTCGGAACTCAGAGATTTCAAGTTGGAATATCCGACATCCGAGTTGTCTGGAACGCAGCAAGTTCTATTTCAAATGGGCAGTTTCCAATAGATGTTCCTTGAAGAGTCGTTATTTATTCCTTTGCATGATGGTGTGTGGGTGCAAGGATGAAACAGCGAGTCGTGTACGTATCCATCACAGGTGGTTGCATCGAGGAAAAAGCAGCTGAATGTCTCCACCACTCTGGGTACAAACATGGTGCACATGTAGAGCTACGATAATGTGCGCAGTTTGAGCGTTCGTGTAAAAAGAGCAATGCTGAAATGCATCATTGTCAAAAAAATTGATATCATGGTCGTTGATGTGTGCTCAGTAGGTCCCCTGAGATGCTTTCAGCCGGTGTATTTCATTTTATTTCCTCCCTGTTGCTCTTAGAGTGTCACTTACAAGTTAAGTGCAAACAATTTCTCCACAACATTCAGCAGAATATCTGAAATGAAATTTGTCCCAACTGAAGGCAGAAGCAGCTTATTATTTGGATCACTGCTTGTAACGGCTGTAGTCTTGCATTTTTCTGCATTACTGAACAACTTAACCAATATCCTGACACCACAGAATGAGAAAATCCTGTGTCGATGCTGTCTTCAAACCGTCGACTGCGATGGAGGCTGAAAATAAAAGTCATTTATTAAGATAACTGAAAACAGCGGGGTTCTATATTTTACTAGAAAGTCAGCTCCCTCTCACTTTCTAATGTCTTTGCATCAGTTGAGAACACAAACATGTGCCATCGCCTCTAGGAATAGTCTCCATCTGCCTCCACACGCTACAGATAATCATTAAAAAAGGAACAAAAAAAAAAAAACAACTTTAGTGTGCAGTATTTTTTCCAAGCTCTTTAGATTTGATGCTGGGAGCCTATTGGCATTTGCATCAGTGTATTGACTCCCTCCACTTTATGTGCTGTCTGTTTGTGGCCAGGTGGGCAGCCGAGTAGACTTCCAGTGCCAACAGGGACACCTACTGCAGGGCTCCACCACCCGGCTGTGTTTACCCGATCTCACCTGGACCGGCATCCAGCCTACATGCATCCGTGAGTGCTCACTCTTCCTGCTCTCTCTAGATCTGAATCATTTTCCCTCTCTTTGTTTTTCACTAACCCTTCTGGCATCCTGTCAGTGTTTATCTGTATTGCTGGCAACTCAGACACTCTCTTTTCGTTTTTCCCACCCCCACTCGCTCCCTCTCCTTCCCTCCAGTACAACTTCTCTCAGTCACTCAATCCTCCCATAGCCTTTGACCTCCCAGTAGATTGCAGCTCACACCTCAATCAATCTGCCATCCCAGTCATTCTGGGAGTGGGGTGTTGACCGTGATTACTGTCACTCTGTTTGAACTGCCTGAACTGTCGACCAACACCAAACTAGGGCTGTGCAGTTCAGCCCAGTAGCTTTGCCAAGCCAAGTGCTTTTCTAAGTTGTGATGTGATTCCGTACCTGAGTGGAATCCCTCTCAGCCACAGCATCTTCCATGGAAATATTTAGATCTTTGCTGTCGTCTGCATTTTACTACGTTCCCGCTGTGAAAACACTTGAGCTATGTGATAAAAAGGGGATTCACATGATCTTTGTAATCTTGTTTTCATAATCACCTCAAGATGTGACACCTACTTGAATTTCCCAGACACATTTCTGCTGAGGAAGCAGAGACATAATACCTACACTTCATTCTGTCTGATCTAGTCTGCAGCACGGCGTTATTTGTGTGTCTGCGCTTGTGTGTGTGTGCGTTCATGAGTCTAGTTCGGAGGAGGGTATGTTTTAGAGGGATTGTGAAACCTTGAAAATGTGTTATGTCATGCACAACATTTCACTACAGGACACAGCAACAAAATATCCACAAAACTCTCACTTTTACAGTCTTATTATCATTCCGGGAGTGAGTCCTCTAATTTAAATTTTATAAAATGCTCATTTGACCAGCTGACAGCAGAAATAAATCTAGAAAGGAACTCCTGCTCAGCCTTCTGTCACCCAACAGCTTCTCAGCTCCTGCTCCACCTGTATCTTCAAACTGCTGACCCCATCATCGCGTTCCCTGAGGAATAATTCACGAGGGTGCACATCTCCTGGTGCTTCATTGGCATTTATTGCCGGCACTGTGACAGGTCCCACCAAATAAAAGAACTATCAAAGAAAATTTAAGTCATCAGTATTAAAGGTGAACGCACCAGCAAACTCCTCAAACTGGCAAACTAGCACAGGAAAACTGACATCCTCCGTCTGGAAAAGGTTTGACAGCTGTGTTAGGCGTGAGTTAATGTTAGCATGCAGATACATGACTGATGCACAGTGGATCATACACAGTTTCCTCTCGAGGGCAGCGTGCACTGCCTCCAAAATCTTTCAAACGTCGGGGTGGCAATGTCCTGTGTTGTCTTGGAGCTTCCAAGGAAAAAGGAAAATACCCAAAATAATTAATCAGAAACCACTAAACAAGAAGATAAACTTTTAAACTTTAAAATGTAATTTTCTTTGGGTCACTTTCAAGTGAACAACTTGCTCTTTTTTCTCCCCCGAGGAAACCTAATGCATAATAATGTGGCCTCTATTATGATGTTGATGCATTTGTGGATTCAACCAGAGCTGTTTTTGAAGGCTTAATAACAAGATCTTAGTGCGCTACCGCCAAGCTATCCTTTCTCCAGTCCCAGTGAAAACTGGTTGATGGTTACTTGCTACTGTTATGTTTGAATATGGTAATTGATATTGCAGAGTTAGGGTTAATGGTTCCCCTCTAAAGAGCAATGTTTCTGAACAACAACAAAACCTAACATGAAATTTAAAATTTATGAAACACTAGAGGAAGAGGTGTGTAAATCAAACAACAGCTGATGTTAATGGATTCTTTACTCCCTTTGGATTCCATTTGGTTACTGTAATTAGTCTCATGTATAATAAGTGGTACATGAATGGCCTTTGAGATGTTCCACTCTTCAACCCTCTTGGCTTTGGATACGCTGCAAGCAATCACACCAGCTGCATCTGCTTTCACAGCGGTAAACATAAAATAACATATATCGCATGCTCTTTTGTGTGAACCTCTGAAATGGCAGCCCGACAGCCCGTCTGGATTTCTTTCAGCGCCCTGATGTTTTGAGGTTTTAGATTTCATGACTGGCTCCTATCAGCAGGTGCAGCAGCATCTTTGCCAGGTTTGTCTCTGCTAAGGTTACAGCGTTTCAGGAGCGGCTCTCTGGCTCTGGTCCATCGTTTCCGGGGACTTGAAAAATGTATATCGTCCTGCCATTGTTACAGTTCTAATTAAAATCGAGAAATGTTTCTCTGAGCATCACTAGATTTTAGCACCTTGTACTTAAAGAAATAAATTCTCAAATTCATCAAATTTCTAAAATTCCTAAAACTCGTATTACCTAACTTTACACAAACACTGGTGATATTTATTTAAACCACAACTCATGAATCTCTACATAAGAAATGTCATTTTCATAACACATGAAAATCACATTAGTTAATTCACTGGCAATTGGTATAAACAGCCAGTACTTGTAACGTGAAATAACTGCAGCATTCATTTGGTTTCTGTGTCTTTGACAGTGTAGTTTTTTCATTGAGATCATAAAATTAAATCACCAGGATACTGAAGATTTTCTGATTTAAAATGAATTAACATGTTATCTCTTGATTTATGATATGATCTATTAAATTCATTTTTCACACACAATGAATGTGCACATGTACAGACCCAGTGGACTCAACAGGGGTAAAGGGTCTTCTTTGCCCTCAGAGCCACAAATCCTCCAAGATACCTTTCTCTATGATTAAATGGTCTTCTCCTACCATGAAGCCACATAAATGGATTCAGAAGTAAAGCCGACCAATCTTGTACTGCTGAGAAAAGCAAAATCTTGGAGGGATTACCAGCACAATGAATGAAATGGATGCAATGGACACAATTCACTGGATCTTAATCAGGTTATCTTGAAATCTAATATTTTCCGTTAAACACCATAATCCACAAATTTCTTGTCACCATACTTTGTGTTGAAAATTATCAATACATAGTGTTGAACTGCAAAGCAACAACAGTTGGAATTTGAGCGAATAGCCAACCATTAGTCTGAATATGTAATCAGAGACACAAAGCCTCAGTTTAAGAGCCTCAGAACTAAACCTCAGTTTTCGGCAACCCTCACATTTTCACAAAAATCAAGTTCAAAATAATATGACATGACATGGATCTTGTTCTAATATATTTGAATACTTCCCTGAGCACAAGTCAGATGAAGATAAACACTTGGCACCTGCTTGGTTGTGGTGCCTCCTTCACTTGGTGAGCCCAAAGATTGCCTGGTACAAGGTCGACATTCATTACTTGCTTCTGATGCGCTTCTAGACAAGACATTTTGATCAATCAGGTCATTGCAGTTGGAATATGAACACTTCTTCAAAATTCCAATTAATGAGACAGCCTTGTTTTCATGTCAAAACCTACATGCGGAGCTCTGTGGCTCAGGAGGTCGAGTGGGTCGACCACAAACCAGAAAGTTGGTGGTTCAATCCTCAGCTCCTCCAATCCTTGGGCAAGGTACTGTGATGACAATTTAAGATGTGATTGATGAGTGATAGAAAACGTAAATAGCAACGCTGTACGAATGTGTGTGTGAAGGAGGGAAATTGACTTTGACTGTAAAGTACTTTGATTGGTTGATTAGATTAGTGCTGTATAAAATCTGCCCATTTACCATTTGCTGGGAAGAGGGGCCAGAGTTGTCTCCGTCTGCTGTGGAGACAGAGGTCCTTCGGAATGCAGGACACTATTCAGGTTTTTTTACGACACTGTGGTAACTTCTGCAGTATTCTATGCCATTGTCTGCTGGGTGTGAGGATGTGCTGAGAGGGACGGAAAAAGACTAAATAATCTGGTCAAAAGAGCCGGCTCGGCCCTGGAATGCCCTCTGGATTCCACTGAGGAAGTGGGTGAGAGGAGGGTTTTAGAACATCTCTCAGCCCCCACACGACACTGTGGGGCCCCCGAGCAGCTCTTTCAGCAGCAAGAAGGAACGTTTCCGCAGGTCCTTCATTCCCACTGCTGTCAGACTCTCATCACCCGAATGAAAAATAAAATCCTGTTGCGCTGTTTTGTTTTTTTTCACTCTACTTATATAACTTATAGGAATTTTGCACATTAGTGTCGTCTGCACATTACC